CTGATATAAATATGAAACAAATCTCTTATAAATTTAAAAATCTGCTTCACCAATTTATTACTATCTACAACATTTGCCATGAACCAAGATTAATATTACAACAGTTTCTAGGGATTTTTCAAAATTTATATCAAATGCAACAATATTCCTGGTCAATAATATTTTAGGGGGTGACGATTGTTACCATATTTATTTTTTATAATTTTAATTTAATTATTATTAATATTATTTACGTATTGATGCAATTTCAAGATGCAACCATGTAAAGTTTGAAATTGCAATAACAAGGTTATATAAATAAACTTCAACAAAATATTATGTCAATATGAAGGATCGGTAAAGTAAATAAATACGATAACATTCTCAAGGTAAATAAAAATGAATCACTAATAATACAGGTTTCAAGTATTTTTATCAATCGATTTAGAACTACTTTGATAGCCTAAATAAATAAATACATATCTTGTTATTCATCTCACAGAAAAATTGGATTAATGCATTATCACATAATAGTGTATATTTTTATAGTCCTTAACTTAGCGCAAATTTATATCTTATAATTTTATTAATTTATGCAAATTATTAGTTGTATCGCTTATTTCGCAAGTTTAATAAATCCGCTGTAACTGGACAAATTTTCATAGAATTTTACTGGAAAATCTAGAAACTTAAGGGGGTGTTCTAGCCTAGAGGTATAAATTTTAAGTGATTTTTAAAAAGCCGTAAAAATAAAGAAACAATTACTATCTGTAACTATTCACTATTTTTATTAAAAAAAAATCCGTAGAAACTGGTCAAATTTTTATAGAATTTTACTAGAAATCGAGGAACTTAAGAAGGTATTCTAGCCTAGAAGCATAAATTTTATATGATTTTTAACAGGCCGTAAAAATAAAGAAACCATATTTTTACTATACATTTTTTTTACATGTTACTAATTTATCTTTTTGAAATATAAAAATAATATTTTAAAAAAAGTCAAAATGTAAAAGTGCTAGCAGATGGTAAAGTTGGGGGTACAAAAATGAGACATGTCCATACCCATGATTTTAGCCCTCCAATTAAGCAATTAAAAAAAAAGATTATTGATCTAGAATAATGTCGCTGTAATTGATGTAGAATAATGAAGTATTGACAAAAAAATCACAAAAAAACGACAGAAAAAAATATTTTTTTACAACTTTTTTTGATATTTTCGAATTTTTTAAAAACGGTAAAAACTGAAATTTTGAGCATGATCTTAGATGATGAAGACTCTATTAAAATTTCAAGTAAATGGGTGCTGTAGAAGTTGAAAATTCGAAGGCATCGTATCGAAAAAAAATAGTATCAAAGAGAAAAACGCATTTATAGCTTTTCGTTCATCAGCTATATCACCAAAAATAATTTGAATTTTGAAAAATCATAAGAGAACACATATTATTGGTTTGTTGAACTATAAAAATAACAAAAAATCTATTTCTTCTTATTTAAAACCTCGATGCTAGAATACTCTATTAAGAACTGACAAACAAAGCATACTTGTCTTTTGCAAAGTATAGTTTTATATACAAATCTTCCAGCACTAATCTTGTAAAGATCAATAGTGTAAAAATCGGGACTAGAGATTCAAATAGCTAAAATAGACTTATCATTTTCCAATCAATGCAAAATGTATCTAACTCTAAGTAAACTTGCTATCTCATCACTGTACTTATTACAATTAAATATTATTTACCCGTAATATTACTACATTTGACGTCTTTTCTAAATATATCTGGTGTACTATTTGTGTCGTCTATGCAAATAGCTGCGTAGACATTTTCGTAAAATTAAATCCTAACGAGATACGTAAACTGAATGCTCTCAAATTTGCATAATAAAGATATCGTGAGTTTGTTCTCCCACGCACTGCTCATTCCTCGTTATTGTTCGTGCTTTTGAACATTCCACGTAATTTCTTATTATGCACAGTTTGCTCCAGACAAAATGCTAAACGCTAAAGTCAAGGCACTACTAGTATTATATTAACTGAACTAGATAAATACAAACACTTGACGCTCATAGTCTAAGAGCCAGTGAACTATTTGACTAACCTGTTTTCACAAAGCCAGAAATTTTTTTAATGATATTTTATTATGGGCCCATTAAGAAAATACCATTCTGGCAGTCATTCCGCGGTTGCGTCATCATCCCTTCAATTTGTGAAAATGTAAAAAAAAAATTTTAATAACTTGCTCGCACAAGGCTCAAATTTTGAGGGTGTCTTCTTTTAACTGTTCAGAAAGCATATGTAAAAAGCCAGCCCATTCTGACGGTTGCAAGGGTCTGCCAGAAGAGTACATAATAGTCATGACGCGCAAGGGTGTGGGCGCATTGCCATACATAATTGACTAATACCCTTGTATTTGAATAATTTATACGCCATTTTAAAGGTCATTTTGAAAACATCCGTTATACCAAACTTCAACTTTGTTTCTCACCTTATGGCCGAGATATCATTGAAAATATGCCAAAGTGGCCCCTTTTTCAAACTCAATTTTTGGCGTAACCATGAAAGATATCAAAAAAAATTGAAGAAACCAGAACCAGTACACCCGCGCGTAACGCTAATAGTAGCCCGCATAGAATTCGTTCGGTCGGATGTGCGATGCGTTACGCGCGGGTGTACTGGTTTTGGTTTCTTCAATTTTTCAAAGTGTTCCACAAATTTGATTTAAACCATATTTGCAGTACTAAAAGAGAAAACAATAAGCTTTTAAATAACGCTAATAATAAAGTAATTGAACAAAACGCACTATCCGAAAACATTAATTGAAAAATTATTTTATCTTTTTTAGCTAATAATAAAGGATTATTTAGCATATATTACTATACATTATGTGGTTTAAGCCAATATGAATAGAATCACGTAATTTTTTTTTCGATATCTTTTATGGTTACGCCAAAAATTGAGTTTGAAAAAGGGGCTACTTTGGCATATTTTCAATGATATCTCGGCCATAAGGTGAGATACAAAGTTGAAGTTTGGTATAACGGATGTTTTCAAAATGACCTTTAAAATGGCGTATAAATTATTCAAATACAAGGGTATTAGTCAATTATGTGTGGCAATGCGCCCACACCCTTGCGCGTCATGACTATTATGTACTCTTCTGGCAGACCCTTGCAACCGTCAGAATGGGCTGGCTTTTTACATATGCTTTCTGAACAGTTAAAAGAAGACACTCTCAAAATTTGAGCCATGTGCGAGCAAGTTATAAAAAAATTTTTTTTTACATTTTCACAAATTGAAGGGATGATGACGCAACCGCGGAATGACTGCCAGAATGGTATTTTCTTAATGGGCCGATAATAAATTATCATTAAAAAAATTTCTGGCTTTGTGAAAACAGGTTAGTCAAATAGTTCACTGGCTCTTCTACTATCACGAGACAGATGATGGCATTCAGAGAATTCATTTGCTCTGAATCCGTTTTCTGTGTGCCATTGTTTTGTTTTTTTAAATATTGGCAGAGAAAATCATAAACTTAGGTTTCTGCATGCTGTGCTCAAAAAATATGGTTTATATTGTTTCATTTATCAGTTTAACAATCTATTTAACGTTTCATTAGTTATAGAAAGCTCTGGAGTCAAATTCTTGGCAAGAGTGATACTCAGCATTAAGGGGGTATTCTAGTGTAGAGCGATGAATTTTAGGTCATTTTTAAAGTGTCGTGAAAGAAAGCAATAAATGTTTTTACTATCCATTTTTTACCACTTGTTTATTAATATTATTAGAATACAAAACAAAAATTAAAAAATAAAAAAGTTGAAAATTGTAAAAACTGGCAGCTGATAAAGTGGGTGGTCTCAAAAAACTTGCACCTTAGTCTTGACATGATTTCAGCCCTCCTAGCCATCCAAAATAAAAAAAATAAAAAAAATATTTATCCACAATGATGTCGCGATCGCCCAAACTAGCGATGAGTATAAAGAATTTTTTTTACAAATTGGCGACTGTTTGAAAAAAAAAGTTTTTTTTTACTGTTTTTTTTGAGTTTCTCGAATTTCTTAAAAATAGTAAAAATTGGAAGTTGCGGATAATCCTAGTTCGTTTATAGATAGGTCTATGAACAAGGTTCTCTGAAATTTTCAAGTGTATCGCTCGATTAAAGCTCGAGAAATCGTGTCAACAGTAGTGAAAAAGTTTGTTCTGAGAAAAACGCAATTCAAGTTTTACGTGAAGCCAAACCAGTATGAAGACCGAGTCAGTAAAATCCCTATATATCCGAAAATAATTCAAATGTTCAAAAACCTTCTCGTATCCATATTCTTAGATAGTGAAACTTTGAAAATGTGAAATAAAAAAAATCGATTTTTTTGAATTTCTACACTAGAATACCCCCTTAAATGTTTACACAAACTAATTATCAAAATATCTTCATGTATTTTTTGAAAAACTAAAATTTTCTTTGACACAAAATAATCACTTCTAAGCGTGATAAAATTCAATTAATTAACTAAATTAAAACTATTTTACTCTTTTTATAATAAAATTTTTCTATAATAAAAGACATGCAGAAACTTCCTTTAATCTAGTATACATCAATTATAATTGCAATGTTCTGTTTTCCTAAATACTCGAAAATCTGCCTGACAAGTGATCCACACAGAAAGCAACATTTTTATTCACAATGGCCATATTTTTACAGCTGACATTTTAAAACAAATTTACTTAAATATGTATTTAACAATAACACAAAGCTGTACATAACAAATATCGTTAATGAATTCATAATTGCAATCAATTATTTTAAGAATGTTTTATTAATAAATAATTTTCGAGCGCTATTTACATACTTAACCTAATGATATGGTACATATTTTGATATTTTATAATCGGGGTGTTTGTTTTATGTACAACCTAAAAATAAGCAATTTACATACAAGATCGACACAAGTCATGCAACGGGAAATATTTTAAGAACTTATAACCGAAAAAGTAGTGGGTTGCGAAATAGGCCACTGTGGGCACTCACCATTTGCCCTGTATTCGTCCTGGACTTTGTAGAATTCTGCTAATTCCTTACCCGAGCACAAAGGAGTATCGACTTGGGTAGTTTCGTTAAATCTCGAATAATCGACTTCGTAGCATTGTCTTTCTTTATTGTAGTTGACGACTGGGTCGAACCTGTGGCCCCACAATATTTCCGTATTGATGTAACTTGATCGAGCTTGTGTGGTCTGTCCTGTAGATTCAATAGTACCTTCCAAAATAACCACGATTTCAATTCTTTCCTGCAACAAGTCAGCGGCAGATAAGCCGTACATGGGAGAGTCGCTATTGATACGATGGACGATGGTCATCGGCCAAATGAAGAACAAGTCTGATTCACAGTCATCTGCACCGACTTCCAATTCCGTTTGGAATTGGGATAGAACTTCTCCTTCTTTTGTTGTCTTAGATCTGATCAATTGTGCGCGTACACTTGCTCCAATGATGTGACTTTTCCTCATGTCACCAACTCTGAACATCAGACATAATTCACCGTCGCGTTGGCAAATTACAGCGCATTTGGAGAAGAGCAAGGTTTGAGTACGGTGTTTGGGTCTGGTCATTTTAGCAAAAACTATACCAACCATGAAAGCTTGAATCATAACGCCGACGATTGATTGCAAACACATCATGAAAATGGCTTCTGGGCATTCCTCTGTCGTTGTTCGGACACCATAACCAATTGTGTGTTGAGTTTCCACGCTGAACAAGAAGCAAGATGTGAAACTTTGTATATTGAAAATACACGGTACCCAATTATTTTCGTCCTGGTGTTGCGGTAAATGTGCTTCTTCTAAATCGCCATGAGTGAAGGATATCAGCCACCAGATCACAGCGAATGCCAACCAAGAGAGTATGAAACTCAGGGCAAACGCAAGAAGTGTCCATCTCCATTGGGTATCTACTAAAGTGGTGAAAATATCTTGCAAGAATCGTAAACGACGTCTAGATAATCTTGATTGTAAAACGTTGCAATCGCCGTTTTTCAGTACAGCTCTTCGTCGAATTTTGCGGTTATTTCCTATTCTGTATGGTCCTCGGCTCCTGAAATATAAAGTACACATCATTGATAAACAAGACGACTAAAACTAAATTGCTTGAGTAAAAATCTCACCAAAACATGGATTCAATATAAATATCTAAAAAAATCGTATAAAAACTTCAAACTTGATAAAAATGATTTTGTTTTATAAAAACTTTTGTCATTAAATAATTTTGTGTCACGATCGAATATGTTGGTTTTACATGATTCAATATTCGTTTGTACCTCTTGCCTAGAGATCCTGAAGGTGTTCTAGGGTAAAAGGAACCAGGTAAACTAGTGTTTCCATTTGCTATTTGAGGAACTTGTGTCCAATTCGGTGACAATAATGTCTGATCTTCTTTAGTTCCAGGAGATTCCATATTTACACGTTATATCACAAATTGAGATTTCAATTTAAAAAATATCAATAATTCGATCACTCGTGATTTCCAATCACTAACAATGGATTAAGAGTTTTATCACGATTATAATATGGCACAATTTTATATGTATATCAGTTTATAAGTATCGTTTATGTTTCATTGTAATGAAATTATATTCGTTTCGTTCCAGTCTGCTCGACGGAGATCATCTGCCGACTGATCGGTTTCCGCAAATCTTCGAATGAATGCGAATTTTTTTAAGTATTATTACGTATATGTATATCTTAATATAATTGTTTGTGTAATTTTCAAGCCATAATTAAATCTATTGCTTGTGTACATCGCAAATTGTGTGGAAATAACAAACAAGATGTACGGAACGGGCGGGTTAAAATTAAAACCAAGGTATTATTTGAACAATTATTTTTAATACAAAAACTGTATATTGTAGAAATTTGCAAACAGTTTTTTTCGTGGTTTAATTAGCGCAAAGTGTTCGTTTGAAGTGGGAATTAACTCGTTAGAGCTAATGGCAATGTGTAACTAATTAGTCTGCAAAAACAATTAGGATTGATAGAAATCACTATTTTTAGCATAGATCTATTTGTTTCGGAAAAAATATTTTCAGTTAAAATTCCAGATTTATATATTTAAATACAATGATTAATTTTTAATTGAAATTCATATGCATAAATATTAAAAAAATATTTTTACTAATATAAAGCATAGACAAAATTCAATGTAATCAATGTAAAAAACGAAGAATATTTTTAAAAATAAGCTATAAAATACACGATCCTCACTTTCTGTTAGAACAAATTTAATCAAAATGTGCAACTATAAATTAGTGGGTAACAAAGTTTGAATTCAATTCAAGTTACTTTTCACTAATTTTTCATCCAATTTTGAAAAAATCCATCAATCTCGTTATTTTATACAATTATTTAAAATATATATATTTTAAATTAATTATATGAATTTCCATTCTAAATATTATTTAATTAATGATTCATCATATAAATAAATAATAAATTCCCATTGTCTTTTCATACATTATATGGCAGATTTAAATGTCAATGATGAATGTAAAATATTGTAATTAAAGATTAAATGCATTTTAATCATAATTCCAAGTATTACGCAATCAAATAATCGTGAAGTGAAGTGATAAATAATTACTACTTTAGTAGCAATAAAACTTATTTTAGAATTGATTTATACATATATTTAGAATAGGAAGGGGCATTAAAGTCCAATATAACTTTTGAAAAAATAACACAAACAAGCAACTATCTGACTATGTTCAGTAAAACTCCCAGTTAATTCAACAATCCAATTCAATTCAAGTGTAGAAATGTGTTTTTTTGCTGTTTTTCAAAAATTTGTCACGTGGTCTTTTTTATCCTCAAGTCGGGGTTAATTGTGATACCAGGGGCAAACAGATGAAATGCCATATTTTTAATTTGAAAGAGATTTTACGAAATGATGGCTACTTTTTTGAACCAACCAAAATTCAAATTTTTTGGGTACTTTTTGGCAAAGATAACACTGTGTATAACCTGGATCTGGCGTTTTGTCAGAAATATCATCAGCAGATTCGGAATACTATTGGTTTAATTTATCTCTTAAACTATAGTTTGTTTTAACTTAAGTTACGTTTTTATATACTATTTTTTATTATTCACACCTTTGTTCAGGTGGTTCATTTTACTCCACCCAAGTGTAAGCTTTTATAGAGGTTATATAAAAAATCTGTTGAATCCAACTTAAAATTAACAAAAATTCTCAAAAAACAATTAAATAACATATACTTAAGAATTATATTAAAGTCTCGTAAACTGAACAATAGTGCTCACAAGCAAAAAAACTAACGACGAACAAATATTTTGTTAAGGATTTCCAAAAAGTGCTGTATATCTTCTGATAGCGACATCGTAAGAATCAAGATGATGGCTATACATATTTTCCCTCTACTTTCAAATATTGTAGGTATTTTTCAACTTACTTGTTTTTTAGATATCAGTGGTGGACCTTTACTTCTCTCTTCTCTACATGTACTTTAAATATTTTTGTAAAAATCAGTAAACTATGTGTAGGCTGCACGAAACTAGCCATGATGTGCATCACGTTTTATTTACAAACAATACCCCAAAATAATAATATTTTTTTTTATATTTATATTACTATATTGGTCCAAAAATAACCCATTTAATTTAGACAATACCGCAACCGCCAATTGCAATTGAAATCGAGTGGCGTTTATCATTAGAGGAAATGTGTTAAAATCCTCCGAAACGCGGTGGCGTTTTCAGTCGTCACTAAATATATGTTAATTGCAAATTAAGCACGATGATTGGCGTACAACTGCTGTTTACGTCGTTATTATAATGAATAGCTCAAACATCCCTAATATTAGCCTGGAATAGAAACAGAGAGGATTGTATTTGTATTGAAACTACAATATCAGCTGCGAAAGCAGAAATTACATATTTGTAAGTAGCACTTTGACTTAAGGGGCACAACTAGTGTGAAATTTTCAAAAACTCGAATTTTCAATTTTTCCATATTTCGATAGGTTATACTTTTATAAAATAACATATAAATTCTAAATCGTATAACGATCATTTAAATAAAGTTTTTCTCGAAACAGCATTTTCGAAACAGCCAGCGATTACTCAAAAACAAATGATCCGATCACTATCAATTTTTTTTTTGCACGTTCTATATATAGTTCTCCGTAAAATGAACTATCGATTTTTTGATCGGATCAAAAATCGAATTTTGGCAGTCCAAAAACGACCAAAATTTTGGGTAAAATTCGACTTTTTTTTAAAAAACGCCGTCATTCTGTCAATTTTTTATTTTTCTTATCGTAGTTCATTTTATAGATAATATTATCTAATTTAACGAGATTTTTTTTTAAATTTCATCCACTTAGAAGGCCGGAATCACTGCAGCAGTGAAGGCGCCTTTTTTTGACGACGGAGATCGACGATAACTTAAAAAATATTAATTTTTTTTCTTCAAAAATTTTACTATGTATTCTGAAAACATGTATAAATATATTCCTAAAATTTTAAATTGATTGTTAAAGTAGTTTTTTTAATATAAATTCCCAAAAATCACCTTTTTTTAGGCGGTTACATTAGTTGTGCTTCTTAATAATAACACATAATCAACCTAATCTATAGTAATTGAAATTTGGCTATTTAGGTTTATTTTAAAAATAAAATTTTCTCTTTCACTAAAAATTAATCAATGCGATTTCCAATTAACGTCTTTCAAACATACTTATAATATTATAACGTCATTCCAAACTTATTAATTTTTTATAAATCAACCACTTATTGTAAATCTATAAAATTTGAGTATTTTATTTCAGACTTTGATATCTATCATCGTACAAAATTTTATCAAAATCGTAGAGCACATCTATAAAACACGAACCCCACATATGCACTAAAGGCATAGATTCTGATTAGAATCGCATAAGTCGGGGCGCCATCACAAACTTTAGTGAATTTTTATAAATCAACCACTTATTGTAGATCTATGAAATTTGAATATATTATCACAGATTATGAAATCTATCATTATATAAAGTTTCATCAAAATCGTCAAAAAAAATCAACATTAATTACGGAGTCTATCGGTCCGGCCGATTTTTATCAAAAACTAATCAACGAGATTTCCAACCAATATCTTTCAAACAGTTTTTGCATTGTTAGAATCGGTTCAAGAATATGGTCTAAGATGTGGATGAAAATTTTTACAGTTTTCTGATAGTTAAAAAGAAACAGGTTGGCTGATCGTTGCACAGAACTGGCCTTATCTAGATACCTCTAATGATGTTTAAATTTTTAAAATCGGTATAGCAGTTTTTGACAAGACTTTCCCTTCGGGGAGTTAAAAAATATTAATAATAAATTTTATTACATTTTTCAAATTTAAAGTTTAAATATAAATGTAGTGATAAGTAATGAATGATATAAATAATCATAAATCTTGGTAGTCGTTCTAAAAAATCGATTCATGTTAAATTTTATGTCCGGCCCTATAAACAAGGAAAACAATTATTATCTTTTACAATAATTGCTTATTTTTACCATCGATCAGTATATATTCTGCTCTTAGTTACGCATTGCTTTTAGCAAATTTAGTATTTATTTTACTTATGTAGAGATCACGTTTTGCATTAATATATATGTAAATTATCGTTGGCAAATTTTGTTTTATTTTTAACCATCATAAATAAACAATTTACAAAACAACACGTGATTGTCTTCCAAACTGAAATATTTTGTGTTACAAGTTCAGTGCTTCTCTAATACTGAATAGAGAACGAACAAATTGGAAATGGATAGGATTTTTTCTTGTACAAATTTTATTAGTAATAGAACAAAATTTAATTGTAATAAAAATTTTGTGACAGGAGTTTACAGTTTTATAAACAATGCTACTATTTTATTTGTAATATATTTAAATCAAATCTTTCATACCTTTTTATTTTGAATTATCAAGTATCATAGTGCATTAATATTATTTAAGTTTCTTGTGTGATATTGTGAAAAACTCTATATTGATATAAAAATTCAATTTTTATCCGCTAAATCATAATTTATCAGATATATATATATATATATATATATATATATATATACCAATATTTTTATACAATTACGTAGGCGTATGGTATAAAGTTACTTTTATCACTTTCACGCATTTTACGATTTTGTTACAGTCGACGCATGTTTATTTAGAAATTTAAAATAAAATCGCTTGTAATATAAAAACAAATACTATTTACAACTACTGAGTCGGAAATATAAATTACACCAACTTTATCTTAATGCCAAAAGCCCTATTGCAAACAAAAAAATCTTAACAAATATATAAACCTGTAAGATCTTAGAATAACATTTATTAAATTGTTGTCATAATAGAATCATCTATCAGCAAAATCTATAGACTTCTCAATTTTTGTAACCATTGCAAACTAATTCATGTATATGATGATTACAACTTTTTTACTACACTTTAAATAATGAATTCTGCATCTTAAATAATGAATTCAACCATAAAAATTATTTTTAGAAAATTGTAAGTATAAAAAATAATTAGTATAAAATAATAAAATCGGTAAATATTTATATTTGGGATATAAAATTATTCATGACTAAAAATTATGTCAATTAATATTATAATTTATTATTAACTTCCCGTAGGGCAAGTTATAGTAATCGCAAAAAAATCGAAAATGAAATTTTTTATATATCTTTACGTTTCAGAGGTTTCTGAACATTTTGGCATACCTTAGAAAAAATGGATGTATGTGTGTGTGTGTGTGTGTGTGTGTGTGTGTATGTATGTATGTATGTATGTATGTATGTATGTATGTATGTATGTATGTGCGTGTGTGTATGTATGTGCGGATACAAATTTTCGTCGACGATTTCGGGAACACGGATCAACCGATTTGAATAATTCAAAAAACATTCGATTCGTATTAATAAGGAGACGTGCTGATTAGTTTTTGGCGAAGGCAGGTCTAGCCGTTCCAAAGATACGGGGCAAAAAGTGCCGAAAACGGAAACTCAGTTTTTAAGAGAACGGAGCGTCCGATTTGAATAATTCAAAAAACATTTTACTTGTATTGACAAGATAAAGAATTGATCAAATTTTCATAAAGGCAGGTCTAACGGTTTCGGAGATCTGATGCAAAAAGTAAAAAAAAATGCCATTTGGCGGTCAAAAATGATCATTAGACATATGCACATCAAATTATCAGATATTTTATAGAGATTTTAACAATAAGTATAATTTTTTTTTACATTCCTATGGGTTCCGTACCAATGTTTACGCGTTAGACGACGACGCGGCGCTTACGCGCTTTGATATTTCGTCTTTATGCAGTTAAAGCAGTACGATTACTTTGAAAAAAAGTTTAGATCTTCCAAAATATGTCAAAATAAAATAAAACTTTTTTTTTCAAAAAAAAAAATAAAAAAAAAAAAATTTAAATTTTTTTTTTTTTTTTAAAAAAAAGTAATTTTTGTCCAATATATAGTTTCTCAAAAGTCTTATATTTTCGAAGTAAAATTTTTTCAAAAATCTTAATCGTTTTTAAAAAAAAAAATTTGGTACGGGAAGTTCCAGCAATTTGCCTCAAGGCACGATGCCTTAATTGCCTTAAGACAGAATTCCACTTACAGCTAGTTAAAATATCTGTTACGAAATAGAAGTTTGTGGGAGTAGTGTAAAAAATTAGGCTTGTACATATGAATATGTGTTTTTTATTTACGAAGTATAGAAAATTAAAATAAAGAAAAAAATTTTAAAAAAATTTAAAAAAAACACTTAGGAGTGCTACTGATTGTGATCATAAAATTTAATAAAAATCGGTCAAACCGTTTCAGAAGAGTATTATGACAAACATCATGACACGATAATTTATATATATATATATATATATATATATTAAATTTTTGTGTGTATGTGTATGTGTATGTTTATGGTATATACATCAGGCTCGGGTTCAATCAACCTTGGTGTCATAAGACACCAGACACCTGTAACGCAACTGTAAAAATCTTTACAGATATATTTATTTATTATAAATTATTTTCCAATCCATGTGAAATTTAATTAAAATTATATAACATTTTTTTTTACGTTGTAGCCACGTGTATTAGCTCACAACTGTCTCAGAAAAACACCTGCTCTTCATTATTGTGATTGATGTATCGATTTCCATTTTATAAGGTAGAAATAATCATTAAAGTTAACATTCATGTTCATTCCTCATGCATGGGAGTGATAAAATTTAATCGGATTAAGGAGTATATATTAAAAATTATATTATTTTATTCAGTATCGCATATAGTTTGTTATTATACAATACATTTTTTATATCCAATCTACTTGCAAATTTGCTCCAATAACTGTAATTCAGTTTGCAAGAGTTTGCTGCGGTATCCAATCTGCACTAATTGTTATAGGCGGTTATTTTCACTATCACTTAGCACATGATCGCGGTTTAAAAATCTAGCTTTAAGTTGTTGTTACAGATCTCTTTATTATTTCATCCGTCTAATAACACTAATTTATGGACACATCTAATTTACGCCAGTTCTCAGAGTTTTGAAATAATTGAATTTATTTATTTTAACGAGGAGTTTTCTGTAAAAAATCGCGACGCGGATCATTATGCTCGTAGTCTCTGACTGACTGAATGACATTATTGTCAGCCGGTTGATGATAACATTATTATCAAATCAAATATTTGTAAGATTCGTTACGTATTCAAAAGACATACATACAATCTTACACATTCACGTATCAGAAATGTTGCTCAATGCCATAGAGCTATTGCATAGTATTTTTAGGCCACTCAGGTGAAAAAGATGCCATGATAGAATATATATATATATATATATATATATGTGTGTGTGTGTGTGTGTATGTGTGTGTTTACACATATAGTAAAGACTGGGTACGGTTGTGCCAGGGTACGGTAGTGATTGCCGTCATTCTGAAATATCTTTATTATAAAACATATAAAATTTACTCTGAACGTGGCTTTGACCACAACACTTTACTAAAAGAATTTGGTATTCCTTCCCTTGCCTCACGTCGATTTACCTGTACAATCATGTTCTTATTAAAACTTTGCAATAATTCTATAGACTGTCCTCTTATTCCTAATCAACTATCCAAGGCTATCTACGCGTTCACAATTATTTTTCAATTATCCTACTCCTAAATCTAATTCTCTCTTAAATTCGCCTATTCTACTTATGTCTCTAACTTTAACTTAATTAATAATGAAATAGATATTCACAACACTTCACCTAATCAAATAATCTCCATCTGCACAAGTTAACCTTTTTAATTTTCTTTTCAAATATCTCATTATTTTTACTTATTCTATTTATAAATATTATTGTTACATTCTGCATTATATGTAATTTTATGTTAAGCATTTTATGTTAATTACTATATATTGAAATTTTGTATATAATTGTTATTCACTATGTAAAATAATTGTATTTTTAAAGTAAATAAATAAATAAATAAATAAAATAAATAACAGCTAAACTATACTGATTTTGGAATAGGATCTAAGTGGAGAAAGATTTAGTATGTTTGTGTGAACAAGTTTCCATACAATGATCAAGACTTCTGATGTAAACTTAAAAAAAATATTTTAAAATTTGAAAAGACAAAATGCGAAAGTGAAAGGAAAAGAAAAATTCAAATAAAATTTTACAAAGATTTTTTATTAACTTTTTTTTGAAATTATGTATTGTTATATTCTATTCATAAGTTTTATGTTACATACTTCTGAAGTCGTTTCTGACAATAAAAGTTATTTTGGTGTTTATACCTATTTTCTGCATGTCACAACCGTCCCTGGGGGGTAAAAGGGTAATTTTTTAAATCGGTTAAGTCTTTGGCATTAGCATTATTTATGCCACTATTTCATGTTATATTTTATTACTTTATAATATAATAAAACAACAAATTATGTAATGCATTTTTATTGCCATCAAAGACTAGAAATTTTATTGCTATTGTCTTTATCTTTGAGAAAAATCTAAGTGTGTAATGTAAAAATGTAATCTCCGTAGCTGCATTGTAATAATAAAATATTAGGTATATTTCAAAAATTTAATCAAGAATTGTTAAATTATTAACAACTTTTTCAGTATTAACAACAGTTAAATCGTATGTGTGAATTCATTATAAATGAATGATTGTAACTTGCCCAATTTTACTATTATATATGTTAAGGCAATGCAAGTATCGTCATACGAGGAAGTAATTAATTATTTTAAAATATCATATAATATTATACAGGAAATTACAGGTCTAAAAAAAGAAAACATTTTTTTATAAATTCAAATGAATAACTTTTAATTAGTAGGATTTGGCGCAATAATTATATTATTTGGAAGGTAATAGGCAGCGGAAATAAGGCTTTTATATATATATTGTGAACTGTATTCAAAATATTATCAAAGCTGAGATCAGAAATATAATATCGCAATTAGATAAAGATATATTTATATAGAGTTTTACATGATTGATATAAATTAGATTATATCCATTATCATTTTTTAAATCATATCAATTTGAGTTAAATGATATATTTTTCCAAATTAATCTGTGATTTGTGATTTCATCACAATAATTAAAAAATCATTAATAATCTATTATGAATAATCTACTACCATTATCTCAAAAGCAAATAAAGCGATACTATTTTAAAGTAGAAGGTAAAATGTGTGTAACTATTAGCAATCACCTACAATGCTATCAGGAGATAAACTGCTATATATTTCTTTTGTAATATAATAAAATTATTTCTTTTTGTTTGTTTTTTTCTGAGTTTTGAGCTCTGTTATTTAGTTTGTAATACCTGATTATAATTTTTAAGTTCACATTCGTTTTTAAGTTAAATTTAATAGGTTCTTTTATATAATCTCTATAAAAGCTTACATGTAGTGAGTATAAAAGGATCACCTGAACCTTCACAATGGCAAGATGTAAATATAAAACAGTAAATAAAGTAGTAAAATAAGTTAAAAGAGGCAATTTTGCAAGAGAAAAATTAAATTAATAGTTATTCCAACTCTATCATATTTTATGTTTGGGTGATAGCAGTAAGAGTTAAAAAATAGAGCAATAGAATAGGGCAAGACACAAAGGTCCAATTTGACTTTGAGCAATTATATTGTAAAAATCAAACCAATTATATCACAACAAGTAACACATATCAAACAAACAAGTAAGTATATGACTATGTTCAGTCCCAAGTAATTCATCATTACAGGAATATGTTTGTTTACTGTTTTATAAAAATTTATCACTTAGTTCTCAACAGGGGTCAAGCAGGCCCAATGTTTTATTTTTATTTTAAAGAAATTTTTGAAATAATAGCTACATTATTCAACTAATGCAAAAATATAAATTTCTTGAGTACAATTTTTACAGAAACTTCACTGTATTAACTATGATCTGGTATTGCACCAACAGGGTTGGAATGAATATTTATTTTACTCATCTCTTGTAAAATCATTTTTCTAACGTATTTATCAATATCCTAAGAATCAAGATAAAGGCTGGTTATACATCTTTTTCCCTTTACTTTCAAATATTGTTGTTAAAAATTCATGACTTTATTTGTTGTTGAGATATTAGTAGTGGAACTTTTTTACCAACGGACTTTTAACCCCTTAACTTACAATTTAGATTCGAAAATGTTGGGCCAAAGTTGTACAAGCTGGCGCAGCGTTTGTGACTATTTTCCCGCATCGAGTACAGATTTTCACAAAAATTAAAATAATAAGTTTTATAGTATTGTATAAATAAATATTTTGTGATACTTGCGGTTGTCGTACCGGGTTATGTCCGTAATGCGTGATATTTGCTTCTGGGCCGATAATCGTTGCAATCGTACGCGGGGCCTGCTCGTCATTTTAAGTTAAGGGGTTAAGCCACGCTCTACCCTATAATTTCTAAAAGTCAAGTTAGACTTTTGTGCCCTGGACAAGTTTTCGTTTCTTCCATGCAGATTTCTATTAATTTATTTAACGATAAAATCTAATTATTTTACGTACCTGCGACTACCTTGTCGGCTAAGGTGACTACCATGGGTAGATACTCTGGATAAACTTGGTACAGGAACTACAGTAAGTGGCAGTAAGGAAGGAGTATTCGACGATACTTCTGCATCATCTTCAGATTCCTCAATAACACCAGGACGCATAAATAATCGGCGTGGCTCTTCCGTCCCGCGCTGCCGACTCATTCCGAATTTCATGCCGAAATATTTAAATCTTTTACATTTCATTTATTTAAAAATTGAAATCACACTAGTTTTATAGAATAATAGATTAGTACAAGTTATTTTAAAAACTTGACATTATATAAAATAATAAAAACTTCATTATTTTTATATTTATTATGCTTTGAACACATATATTAGATCAGAGTTTTTTCACATTTTTACTTATTTTGATTTCGATGTGATCGAAATATATAGAATGCACTTTGAATTCTGTGCAACAAATCTTCTTAAACGATCAAGTTCATATGAGCTAATTCTATGATAAATTTATATTTCCTTTTTATACGCTGGCAGGATATGTCCATGTCAACTTGCATTAGAAATGATCATATTGTTGGTGGGTGAACAAAAAAATTACGGTCTGTTAAATTGAATTCAGTTAATAATACTTATACTTTTAAATTTGGAATTTGCTGAATATTTCATATACATACAACTTTTAGTTTAAAACTTACAAGACATACAATAAATAAATGCGCTGCAAATAATATGAATTTATCTTAATTTTTTAACTCATTGAATTTTCATATAAATAAGGAAAAACAATATATTATACATATATTATTCTAGATTATCAACCTAAGCCTGTGTGCGTTAGCATCACATAAATTTAAAGATTTTGCATCTTGTGTGCTATTTGCTTTTCAAGATTCTTTTACTTGTAGTTGCTGAATATGTCGATGAACTATTGATTAATTAATTAATTAATTCTCTCACTTAAGGTTGTTAATAGAGTATCATTGACTTACACTAATTATACACATCAAGTTGTTTCGAAAACGAGCAACGAGTGAAGCACATGTTTTGGATACTGCTAATATATAATTTGTTTTATATTTTACTTTTTGAAGTCTCGAATAAATCTAATGTTATATTAATATAATAGTATTAATCAAATCACAGACTGCCACTTTGAAAATTCAATTATTAAAGGATGTATCCCAGCTTTATGGTATTTTATTTTTTTATTTTTTTTAATTTGTGAAACTTTGGCTAGATTTGAGATATTTAAATATAACAAATAAAATCAAAATTTTTCACAGACACTTCTTGGTTAAAACTAATTTTGAAATAAATTGACCTTTTCTTAGCACTGCAGCTCGACGACTGGACAACTGTCCCATATCAAGAGCGGAAAAAATTAAGGTCGCTTCATTATGACATACATGCGAATATTAATTTCGTTACATGTGCTCATATGAGGGACATTCGAAATTATTTCAATCCTGTTGGATGCTGGTGAAATGCATAGATATATATATATAATAATAATATAAGCCTTATAAACGACATAACTGGTAATAAAGGTTTCTGAACGTACCTTAGAAAAGATTTATGTGTGTGTATGTGTATGTATGGATACAATTCTTCATCCACATTTTCAGGAGCACAAATCAATCGATTTGAAATATTCGATTCCTATTGATAAGGAGACGTGCTGATTAGCTTTTGGCAAGAGTCGGTCCAGCCGTTTCGGAGATATAAAGCAAAGAATGCAGAAAATTGAAATTAAGGCTTAGAGAGAACAGAACTTCGAATTTAAATGATTCATAAAGCATTCAATTTGTAATGTTTAGACGAGGTGGTCATCAGGTTTTGGCAACGACTGGCCCATTCAGAGACAGAGATAGAAGTGCAAAAAATTGCATATTTTGAAATAACAAAGCATCTGATTTTAATGATTTAAAAAACATTTTCATTTTTAAGAAACGATTAGTTTAGAAATGCAATATCTTTTCCAAAATTAAAAAAAAAACTATTTTTTTAATATCAAAAGTCTTTCGAATTTTAATTTTAATTCTAGCTAAGGTTATAAAATCGTCTTACATACTTTAAATAATGTTAACTTTATAATTCAGTATATATAAAAAAATATATTTAGAAATTTGCTTTATTTGACTATATACATTGCAATGAAAAATCATGATTTTTACAAAAAGTTTCGAATTGTTTACACCTTACACCTGTCTAGAAATATCATTATACTATCATAATATAATATTGTTTACATTTATATATATATATATATATATATATTTGTTTTTGATTAATTAAGTGTGAAAAGAGCTATTAGAAACATACTGCTACAAGTCAGTTTATATAATTTTTAATATGATTATTATAAGCTTTTATATTTAGTCTATCAAATACGAAAGATGCATTACCTTTAATAATTTGAAATCGTTAAAAATTCCTCAAATTACGGTACGAGAAGTTTCAACAATTTGCCTTAAGGCCCGATGCTGTGCGCCGCTAGTTAAAATTTAAAATTCGAATTTTGAAAAAAGCGCCTTAAATTTGACAGTTGCACAGGGTTGCCAAAATTGAATTGTCACTTTCATATATCAACACCACGTTTGGATATAAACCGAGAAAGCAAGAAATTATTTTATTGTGTTAAAGTGTAGACAAGAAACAGTTGGACGATTGTTTTTCATATTGGACTAATTATATAGAATTAATAATTTGTAACTTTAAGAATGACAGTTAAGTAACTTTTGTTTAATTTTGCCAATAGCATTTGGCAACTACAGTTCATTTGTTCTCTCTTGATTCTCTCCACTTAAAAATATAGAGCTTGACTTATAAATCTAATATAAATTTTAAGGACTGCAAGGCTACAGCAATTAAGGTATATATATACATTTGTTACATTAATTTTATCTTTCATTCGTTATTTATTTCATATTTTCATGCTTCATAATTCCACATATTGAGTAAAACTGTAACCTGATACTCAATTTTCTACTTAGTTTGCATATAATATTATTAACTTGACAAACGTGAAATCATTATATATTTATTATAAAACAAGACCCTTTTGTCATTTAGACAAAATGGACATAGAAGACTTCTTCAAGTTAGACAAACCTATTCAAAGAATTCATGTTCCCATGGGGGCGAGTAGGTCTAGACCAATGCCACCTAAGAAAAATGTATACCCTGACTCAACTGTTCCAAGAGGGGGCTATGAGTATGCAAAGGATTATCAGAAAATAGAAGAAGAACATTATTTAAAGGTACCATTACCATTATTTGTTAACTTGCTGTGTATCTGTTGCAATACTTTTCAGTTGCGCATAATTTTGTTCAATAAGTATTTGTATCAATATTTTAATTATAGTTTTGTTTCTGATTTTGTATAGAATTACAACACAATTAGAGAAAATGGTTCTGTAAATACGCTAAACAGACTAGATGAAATTTCTTCTTGTGGGTTAACAGAAGTTGCTATACCTGAAAAGGTGACGGAGGTTTATGAAAAATTCAACTTTTCTAAACCCCCTCCAAATAATCTCAGTATTAATTTGTGCAAGAATCAAATCCTGCAGACTATAAATGCTTCACAAGTCACTATAATTCGTGGTGCTACGGGATGTGGAAAAACTACTCAAGTTCCGCAATTTATTCTTGACTATCATTATGAACATAAGTCGTATTGTAATATTATTGTTACACAACCCAGAAAAATTGCTGCAATAAGCATTGCAAAAAGAGTAAGTAAAGAACGAGATTGGCCATTGGGAGAATTAGTTGGATATCAAGTGAGTATGTATGTAGTATTTCTTTATTCTCATCCCCATCCCCATGATGGAAATGAGAAATAATTGTCCTAATATATTCTATTTTGTTTTACATTTTATAGTAGTATAATAATTGTATGTTTTTTTAAGGTCGGTCTAGATGCAAAAGTAAATGAAGATACAAGATTGCAGTATGTAACAACTGGTGTACTTTTACAAAGACTTATAAAAGATCAATCTATCATAAAATTCACTCATGTCATAATTGATGAAGTACATGAAAGAGATCAAGATATGGATTTTACGCTTTTAGTTATAAGAAAACTTTTACGAACCAATTCACCTTATGTGAAAATTATTTTAATGTCAGCCACATTCGACACTACTAAATTTTCTCAATACTTTGCCACACCTGGAAAAAAAAAACTTGAACCCGCAATTGTCATTGATGTGCCAAATGCAAGTGCATTTACTGTTAAAATATTTTACTTAGATGACTTGAAAAATACTCCTAATGTGAGTTTTTTGAATTATTTTGCAAATATTTCTTTACCTTGTAATTATTATTTTATCATTTAATGACATGTTTTAGATCAATGAACATTTCACGGAACCTTATATTGATCCTCAACTTTTGAGTACAACTACAAAATTAATACAAGCATTTGAAGAAGTTGATTTTTTGGATTTTGCAAATAAAATGAAATCGGAAACTTCTACCTCAAATGACCAATTGGAAGCACCTATAGGATCTGTTTTAGTATTCCTTCCAGGAATTTATGAAATTGAATTATTTTTTACAGAGCTTCAGAAACAAGTGAAAACCTGGTAGTATCTGATTAATTTAACAAAGCTGATGTTAACATTTTCAAGTTTTGATGTTTAATTAATTAATTTCAGTAAACGCCAGTGGCATATTCTACCACTGCATTCGTCAATCACTTGTGAAGAACAGCAAAGTGTATTCAGGTCTGCTCCAAAAGGGTTTCGTAAGATTATTTTATCTACAAATATTGCTGAAAGTTCTATTACAGTGACAGATGTAAAATATGGTATGCAAAATATTTTTAATTAAGAATAGCAAATATGAAATGTGATACCATTTAGCTTTTTTATTTTAGTGATAGATTTTTGCTTGTCTAAGGAGTTAGAAACAGCAGAAGGTTCTAATTTTGGAATGCTTAAATTAATTTGGGCATCGAAAGCTAATTGCAACCAGAGAGCAGGAAGAGTAGGTAGAGTAGCTGATGGAAGGGTTTATAGAATGGTAACAAGACATAACTATGAGGTATTGAAACAATTTTATTGTTTTTGCTACATATGTACTTAAAAATATTTTGGCTTTATCTTATTTTATTTGCAGAAATTATTTAGGAATGAAAGTAAACCTGAAATGATTCGGGCACCTTTAGCAAGGTTAGTTCTTCTCAGCAAACAATTAAACATGGGAACACCTGAAAGTATTCTTGCATTAGCAATGGATCCTCCAGATCGTGCCAATATTATGAAGACTATTTTACAATTAAAAGAAGTAAAATATATGCTTACGGTTAAATATTTTATTTGTCCAATTCTGTTTAATAATGTATTTGTATTGCAGATTGGTGGACTCCTTGTAACATGTGATGGTGAAGTATCAATGGTAGATGGTGATATGACTCTTTTGGGTCATGTAATGGCATCGTTACCATTAGATGTTCACATATCAAAGCTTATTATGTTGGGATATTTATTTGGCTGTATGGAAGAATGTATTATTATGGGAGCGGCTTTAAGCTTGAAGAGCATTTTTAGCAATCCTTTCACTGAGCGTTTGAAATCTTATGATTCGAAATTGACTTGGGCTGATGGCTGTATGAGTGACCCCATTGCCTACTTGAATGCTTATAAAGTTTGGAAACACAGCAGACAGCAAAATTATTTTAGTAGATCAGAGAATGCAGAAGTTCTTTGGGCTAAAAGATTTTGTTTGCAAATCAAAACAATGAATGAAATTGCTGCACTTGAAATGGAAATCAAGAAACGTTTGCAAAAGATGCATATTTGTTCATTGTCAGGGGCTCATGGCTTTAAATGGACAGAAGGGGAGAAAAAACTACTGTATAAAACTGTCATTGCAGGTATTAGAAAATAAATGATTTCATCAACCTTGATTATACATTTACATTTTAATACTATCTATTGTATTGATTTAGGTGCTTTTTATCCTAATTATTTTTTGCGATCATCACATATTGATGAAACTCATGCCTTAAAAGTACTTGGCGGTAGAAATCCATACAATACAGTCTATTTTTCTGGGATGGACTCGAGGCAACCAGGAGAACTATATGCTAAACAAATAAAAAAAGCACTATCCCAATGCAGTGAAGATGTTAAAGTAGAGTTTGATCATTCCTCGTAAGTTTATTTAATAAATTTATTTATTTTTTAATTATCTCATTATTCAATAATTGCGTATATTAAATATCTGATATGAAAATGATTTCATATTTATCAATATATTTATTATTTATATCTGTTATTTCATTCTTAGGAAAATTTATGCAGTATTTCCTTCCTCTGAAGATAGTCAACATTTCAATAAAGAATTAAATTTATTATCTTCAATTCCTGGCAAAATTTCAATATCTGTCTATAAGGCTATCAAAATGCGGCATCTACAGATGAATCCTGTTCTAAAAGTTCTGAAGTGAGATTAATTAATAACTTGAATTATAATTTTTGTTTATATCATTAAATAATATTTATTTTAGATATGATAAGTCTATGGATTTAGCCAAACAGAAGGGTATTAAAAAGCAATTTACGTTTAGTTGGGAAACTAGTTCTAATTCTGGACCTTTAAAGAGCAGCTTACCTTCAGTTGTTACTACAAATATTTCATTTAAAATGTGCCATGTATGATCTAATGTTTATAAACTGTTTGTTTGATTTTGTACTAATATTTACAATTTTTTAGTTTCTAAACTGTGGCCATTTTTGGGTGCATCCTACGACTGCAAAGAATACCTTGGACACAATTAAAAATATATTAAATGAAAACGAAGGTGAAAAGTTAAGAAAATTTGACAACTCACTCAAACCATATGTTGGACAAGTTTGTGCCTCCTTTTTTGAAGGTGCTTATTATAGAGTCCGAGTTGTGGAGTGTGGATATTATCAAGGCGAATATCTTTATAAAGTAGGGAGTTTTACATTATATTGCTAATTATTAACTTATTTTTTGTTGTTTTGTCTACTTTTCATTACTGTTTGTTTTCAATTTATCAACTTTTATCAATATTTATTGATTTAATCTCTTATACTTATTTTCAAATAGATTGATAATTGTTTCAGATTTTTTATGTGGATTATGGTAATACAGTACTAGCCGAAATGCAAGAATTAAGAGATTTTGGAGATTTAACAAATCAAATGATGGAATTCCCTATGCTAGCCTTTGAAGTTGTGCTTGCAGAAGTTCAGCCATCAGAAGTTTGCGACAGTGGCAATGGTTGGTTGAAAGAAGCCAATGAGTGCTTTTCAGATATGACTGTGGACAAGGAACTCAAAGGAGAGGTGATCTTAATGTTTTTTCCTTCTGATCATTGTCAGAGATTTTGACAATTGAAATTTTTATTTATTGCTCTATTCCTACTCAGAATATGTTGCTCAGAAAATTTAGGCTATTATTGATATACTCTTAACATTTCATATTAGGTATATTCAGTTGTTGAAGGTGTTGTAAGCTGTTTCGTGTATTTGAACTCCACAAATCTCAATCTATGGCTTATTGAACAAAAGTATGGACAGTATTGTGAAGAGAGCTTCCAATCAAAAGTATTTATATTTTCTGTTAATTTTTGTTTTAGACAAATATATCAGATTTTTATTTAATTTTTATCCATTACAGCAAAATCATGAAATTAGACAGTCTGCAGTAAATTTAACTGTAGACCAAATCTCCTTTTACGATCAAGAGCAAGAGGCTCATGTTAATAATCAAGATGAAGTAGAGCCTCCAAATCAAATTGATTGCAAGTACACTATCAAATTGAATGGGCCTCATAGTCCCTTAGAAGCACAGGTATTTATTGGTCTGAAATCTTCTTCTGTGTATATTTTAATTAAATTAGAAAAAGATAATTTATGTTTTAAAATTAGTTATGTCTTTGAATATGTTAGACCCATACCTCTCTACATATCTATATATTAATAATACTGTTGTATATTTTACTATTGCATTCTTCTTCCAGATTTACCCGCTCATGCGGGCAACACTAGAAAAACGAGTGACTATGGATCCAAATTCTGTGAATTCTGTTTTGCTATCAACTGCTCCACAATATGGAAATGAATTGCTGATAGTAGCAGCAGAAATATCAGAATCACATAAAAATAATTCTGTTACATTGAGAAATACAACAATCATGCCAAACATTGTTGGATTACCTGTATTGATGACTATGCTGTTTTGTCCATCATTGAAATTATTTGCAAATAAATCGATGACCAAATATACAAAACTATTGTGCGGTTTAGGGTAAGAAAATAATCCAAAACACCTAAAGTTTATTTACTTTCAAACAGAAATTCACATTTTCATGCAGGTTTAAATTTATTATTACTGTGTTTATTTTAATACTCAAGTATCATGAAAATATTCATTTTTTACAGAAGTGATGAACAAGGTGTACCATATTTTAAAGACCATGATATGGAACTAGATATTAATGTTATTATTGATAACGATGATATAAAAAATGTAAGTAAAAGATGATTTCAAATATGTTTGAAATTGATAGAACATTGATTTGTGATATGAATGAAATGTTGAAAATCATTTTAGATGAACAAAATTCGTTGTTACATTGGACGTATGTTATGTTTTTCTCCAAATGTCTTAGACAATCCACATAATATAACAAACTACTTGAAAATGGGGGCTATTTCTGCAACAAACTTACTCAAGAGGTAAATTTATTGCTAAGTCACATGAATCATATAATTCTTTTATTCATTTTTCATCATAATTAGTACAATATATTTATAACGGGACGGAGTATGTAAACAATTTGTTTTGAGTTTGCATGTTTCATTGAACAATGTTATTATTATAATTTAATTTTGCAGTTTGTGGTCAAAGAATCGGTTTGTTGTTGATAATTCAAATAGCCAGTATGAAGAAACAAGTTGGTTATATAGCCCTGAATACAAGAGTAACCTGCTCGCATTACAGGTGCTTTCAAATCCGTATATGCAATATTACACTTTCCATAGTATTCTTAAATTGAATACTAAACCATTGCATAATACTGATGATTTATTACAGCACCATTTAGAATTAGCTGAGAAAGCAAATAAGTAAGTTTATTGATGAAAATGTATCATACTAACATTCTGTCAAAGAAGAGCATAAAGCGCTAAAAAGTGGTAAACTGAAAATTTTGAAACCATGTCAATTTGAAATCAAGTCGGTTGTTTCATGGTGTCAAAATTGTTGAAGAAATTTATTTGAACTATATAAGTGAACTATAAACATTATAAATTTTGATACGGAATCCACAGAATTGGTAACAATATTTGTAATTTTTATTAAAATCTTTATAAAATATCTGATCATTTGATGTGAAAAAAAAATCTGGATCTTCAAAACTGCTGAGCCTTCCTGCCTGCCTTCTCAAAAGTTTCATGAGTTATTCATTTCGGCACTTCATAGTGGTAAAAACTCTACAATTTATTCATAAAAACGATTGAAAGTTCTTTTTGCTCTTATTCAAAATCGCTACTAACCCTATTTTTGTATAGTAAGTTGTATTATATATATATATATATATATATATATATATATATATATATATAATAACTTCATTGAAAGTTACATTAAGCCTGCTTTTGGCATAATTGTATTTTTTTTCTACTTATTCTCTATCTTATTATTATTATTAATATTGATTATTAAATTATCTTTTTAATAGTGCCATAATGACACCTAATTTAGAATGTGGAATTTGCGATGTGCCGTTAAATTCAATCTTGCAGTTACGCTTACATCTGCATAGCAGGACTCATATAGAAACCATTGGCAAGTTGCAGAGAGGTAACTGTAATTTTTCATAGTATTAAATTTTTTGATAATACTCATTGTAATTTCATAATATTGCAGATGTTTAAAGTGAATCAAGTTACTGTTTTGAACGAAGGTGAACCAAGTCATTTGATTTTTCAAATTTTATTAAACGCTTTAATGTTATGAAATATGAAATATATAAAAGTATTAATTTTTGACAAAGTTTAATATGATATAAGGAAATATAATTTTTCAAAAACATAAATGTAATTTTGTGAATGCATTGATGCGATAATTGGACATTCTAAAGGTATTATAAATAATACAATTTTGAATCATTTCTACGTCTTTGCAAAATAACAACTTCCTTGTAGAGTTTTAATGCTGGTCCCAGTTTCAGACCCAACCCTTGTATTACCTCTACTCTAGACATTTTTAGTAAATGCCTTCCATTAATTGTCTACAACATAAAATTGATATTTGATTTGCTTGTTAATGCTTTATGTAATTTTCAAGTAACTTAGTGGTTTCTTACCCGTTCTTTTAAAGCATATGCACCCTGTGGATGTTGGTTCTTTAAATAATTGTATAGTCGATCACAAGTCCAATCTGTGATATCAGGAATTACTTCATCTATTTCTTCATCACTGATTGATCCATATATTCTATAAAATACAGTTTTGATGCTAATAAAATGCTAATAAGCAAAATGAACAATGTTGGTGCACAATATATTTTGAAATTTGCGAACCTTGGTTTGAAGTTACTCCATATTGCTTTGTGTTCCCAAGGTTCATACCTTACTTTTGGTATATTACCAGGAGAACAGAAAAATACTGATTTTGCTAATATATTATTCACATCATTTTTGTCTTCACAGAAATTGCAAAACCAAAATGACATACCAGTGATACTATCTTGCAGTTTCGGTGAATGACATTGTTTATGATAGGCAGAGTTACATTTAACACATATTACTAATGAATTCTAAAATTAGAAATGCTTGTCCATTATAAACAAACAAAACAATTGCAGATTATTTATGTACATACTGTAGACTCGATTATTTTGCATACTGCACACACCGTACAATCTGCACATTTCCACATTTGATTGTATTTATAAAAACTTGTATTACAAGCACATTTAAGGTGACCTGTAGAAACATAAAATTCCAGTATATATATATATATATATATATATATATATATATATATATATATATATATATATATATGTACACTCACATATGTTTGAACAACTTTTGCAAGATATAATGTTTTTATTATGTGTAATGATAGTTTCTCTGCACACTGTGCACTCAGTAGGACCTAGAATTTAATCAATTAGCATTTATTTTAAATAATAATTATTTAAATCATACATGAGTCAATAGAATGTTCAGCATTGAAAGTACATTCGTCATCATCCTCATGCATTGGATCCTCAGAAGAAGTAATTTCAGTTTGTGTCTATAAAACAAAAATTTCATAAAGTTACAATAATGAAATTAGACTTGCAAGAAAAATACTCACATTATCAGTATTAGTATTATCTACTATGCCGTTTCTCTGTTTTGAAAATTTATTTAAATATTTAGTGGCAATTATGTTTTTATTTGGCAAAATAGTAAAAATGCCATTGGTTATAGCAATGTCTAATATATCGTCACAGCTTTCATCAGTTTTCAAAACATTTGGACACAGTAAAGCCTTTTTGAATTCTTCCAATGGTAATCCATTTGTTTGTATTTCTGTAAACACATTTTTATAATAGTAAAAACTACAACGGTAATCTATATAATATATCTATAATGTAAATAATCAGTCATTATTTGATAATTCACAATGCCTTAAAGACTAGTTTGTCTATATATTTGTGATTCCTAATATTGGTTCTATTAAAAGTAATAATATTTAATAATTTGTGACCATTATTCAATTTGATTTATAAAATAATGAGGATTGATGCCAAGATAATTTTACCTAGACTATTTTCTGCTAGTTTACCAAATACACGTAATAACGATGTGATTAAATTACTCCTAAAAGCGTGCTTTCTTCCATGATTGGATTTTGATGCATCTCTATAGCTAATATAGCCTTTGTATTCTACTTTAAAAACTAGAGATTCCTTCACGCAAATTGCTATTGCAGCCTTTACAACCTCATTTGACAATCCATATTTTTTTAACAAGTACATAGTAATTCTAGAAGCATCTGGCCGTGCTTTTCGAGCCCTTAAGTGACTAATCGCTTCCAAAATTTCTTTGCTGTACATTACATTTGCCATCATAAACCTTAAAATATCTATTACTTTTATAACGAATAATTTTGATAGTTCTTAACCGCCACATGCAATGAGGTTAAGATTGTTACAAAATGAGTTGAAGCTGCACGAAGTATTACACGATTAATTTTTATTTACTAATTATTAAATACATAGCACATAAATTAAGTGCGTTTATTTGTGCGTTATATGTTTACTTTTAGCTTGACAATCTTTTGCTTTCAATTTTTGACAGTTGACATATTGAACAGCCAGAATAACATTGAATTGAAGTATAGGTTAATAATTCTTAATAGAAGAGTTTCAATTGAAGCTATATAAATTAAACGTGAAAATTATGTCAAATATTATGTCGTTAACCTCATATTAATGTAACACCCAACGGAAATTTCTGATTATATATACCCACGTCTCAGATAAATGTAAAGTAACAAGTATGTAATTACTAACATCCTGCCTCATTACTTGTTTCCCTCAGTGTGTGACTAATTTTAATAGACATTAAGCGTGTTTTTGTGCTGATATGAATACTCTTACACTCTGCTGCATTAAATTTATTATATTAGGTTTATTTGGTAAATGTGTAAAATGTGAGGAAAGACCGAATTTTCTAATATGGGGCCCTGGTCTTCAACCGAATATTGTCATAACACCAGCAAGGTACTTTTTCATAGAGGCAGTTGGTGAAAATCAGAAACGGTATAATATTAAACATTTATTACATTTGTTTTCCAAGAGCTCTTAAATTAATTTGACCTAAATTTCAGAGTGAATATACCTTCTGATAGTATCAAAGTTTCTATAACAGGTGAATCTGAATATGGAAACTGCCGTATTTGGATTAATAAATTGGATCGAAAAGATGGATCTTTCATCATCAGATACAAATTATATTATCCATGTCATAACTTACAAATTGAGGTAAAATTTAATAGGCAACATATTGGAAAATCTCCTTATGTTATACCAGGTCAGTGTGTGTTAGAAGTATCTGTGGTTTTATAATATTTATAGTTCTAATTAAAAAAATAAACAAAAAATTAAATAGTATTTCTATTTAGATAGAGTTTACAATGAAGAATGTTATTGCCCAAATGGATCAGTTGAAGAATTTTTATCCAACTACGGCTGCAAATTACCATACAAGCAGATACAATCAGACTTAAAACCTTTTAAAAATGTTGATATGAATTATGTTAGAAACATTGTGCAGAAGAAATTTAATTCTCCTGGAAGTTATAGTATATGCAATTATGTTATTAAAGATAATGAAATCTATAGAAAGTGCTATGGGCAACATGTTGGGTTTAAAATGTTTATTGATGCAATTTTATTATCATTAGCTAGAAAGATTCTGTTACCTGATACAGAATTTTGGACAAATTTAGGAGATTGGCCATTGATTAAAGTATCAGATGGCCATCTTCCTATGTTTTCTTGGTGCGGTAGCAATGATACCTATGATATAGTCATGCCCACTTATGATATTACTGAATCAACATTGGAAAATATGGGCCGAGTTATGTTGGACCTGTTGTCAGTTCAAGGAAATATTGAAAAATCTTGGGAAGAAAAGGTGCCACAGGCATTTTGGAGAGGAAGGGATTCTTCGAGAGAAAGATTATCACTATTAGAGATTTCTCAAAAATATCCAGATTTAATTAATGCTTCAATAACTAATTATTTCTTCTTTCGTGAACAAGAGAAAATATATGGGAAGAGTCCTCATATCTCCTTTTTTAAATTTTTCAATGTAAGATCATATACTTTTTATTTTTATTTATAGTATTATTTCAATTTTTGAAATCGTTATTTATTAATTTATATTAATGAGCAAATAGATAAATCATTTCATTCTTAACTTTTACACATTATTATTCAACTTTATAATTTAATAAATATATGTCCTTTATAATTGTCCTTTTTAATTGCAGTACAAATATCAGATAAATATTGACGGAAGTGTGGCTGCATATAGGTTTCCTTATCTATTAATTGGTGATTCCGTTGTATTGAAACAAGATTCACAATATTATGAGCACTTCTATAATATGCTAGAACCAAATAAACATTACATTCCTGTCAGAAGAGATCTCTCAGATTTGGTGGAAAAATTAAAATGGGCAATTAAAAATGACAATATTGCTAAAAATATATCTCTGGAAGGGAATAAGTGGGCCAGAGAAAATCTTATGCCCACTGATGTGTTTTGCTATCATGTATCTCTACTTAATGTAAGTACAAATGCTTGTATTGTTCATGTGGAAATTTGCAAATATTTGCTCTATTATAAAACACTGGCGAATACTACTACCCGGCTTTAAAACAATAAACTTTTTCAGGAATGGTCTAAAAAAGTTACTAGTGATGTGATTATTTTAGATGATATGGAACATGTACCACAACCTGCTCCTGATAAGCACTATGGTAAATGTAAATGTCTTAAAAACATAAAGGATGAACTATGACAAATCATCACTTGTGAAATACACATTCAATTAAATTAAAATTATCTAATATTAAAGTATGTAATATATTTTATATCAAAATTAAAATTTAATAATAAAAACATTATATACATTTCAAACAAATCCATTCACTTTTGGCGAATATAAGTGGATTTTACAAAGTTTATATTTCTCGACGTTTTGAAGGTTTCTGAACATTTTGACATACCTCACAAAAAATGGATGTGTGTGTATGTGTGTGTGTGTGTGTGTGTATGTGTGTATGTATGTATGGATACAAATTTTCGTCCACGTTTTCGGCCGCACGGATCAATCGATTTAAATGGTTCAAAAAACATAACAAATAATTCAGATTTTAATTTAAATTCTGACTAAAGTTCTAATATACTTTAAACAAATAATATCGACTTTGCAATTCAATTTATACAATTTTAATAAATATTAGACAATGCTATAATAATTATAATGATCTATATGAAAACATTTAATATTGTTCAAACATTTCGTTACGGTACGGAAAGTACCGATAGTTGCATATTTGCCTTGAGGCATGATGCCATACACCACTAGTTTTTTTAAATCTTTTAACCGTTCATTTGACAAAAACAAATATTTGATGTGAATGGAATCAAATTGCAATTCAATTTATTCAAATACTAAAGCAAGTAGTTTGAATTAAATGTTATAACATTCCAAATAAATCCATTCACTTTGGGCGAATATAAGTGATTTTTACAAAGTTTAAATTTAAAGTTTGAATTTCGCGCTCTAAATTATACTCATGACAACAAATATTTTTAACTTCACATGCATCAATTGTCAAGTAGATTTTCGTGAATTAGCTCGCCGTCGCGTTAATTAAGAGTTTTTAATTGAATCCTTGATTAGTTTTAATTAATTTATGCGTCAAAACGTGTAATTAATTTAGTAGATCATTTTGATATAATAAATTTATCGTGAAACGTTAATTAAAAGCCGAAAAAATGGATATGTGTGGAGGTGCCTTTGATAAGTATCTCTTTCAGGGTTTCCATTTTGAATCAATTTTATAATTAAACAATTCATTTACAGCGCCAATGTATCCTTTAATTATATACGTGCAATTATCAATAGTATAATTTATATATGTGCTTTTGTAGGTTATTAATTCATTTACAGCGCCAATGTATCCTTTAATTATATACATGCAATTATCAATAGTAAAATTTATATATGTGCTTTTGTAGCTTATATTTGAGTACTTTCAACACATATCTCTTTATATCGAATTCTAAATTCACGAAAGTCTCTAATGTAAGTCGTGTGTCGTGTATTGTGTAAAGACTTTACTCGGACAATTGCAACAGGTCAAATTGACTTGTAAAAGACTAAAGTTATGCAGTGGTTCTAAAGTAGTGATTTTGTGTCGAGTACTTGAGATTTCTGGCAGATGCTCTAGAGGTGGTTAGTGTATTGGATTTGTATTCTGGGAGCTGCTATGGAGAATATCGAACAATGTAAGTGCAAAGCATGTTTTATACAAAGCGAGTCAAAGGACATATTTCTGGAATTATATACAGGCATTTATCGTACCATATCTGTTGTGCCTATAAAGTTTTAAATATTCAATAATATTTAACTTATGTATATATATATATATATATATATATATAAATGCATTAAGTTTATCTGAGTTTTGAAATTAAAGCAGTCAAATAATTTTGAAAATCTTTATTTCGAAACATTATTGTTTGTCATCTCCAATAAAACTATGATTTGAATAGAAATAAATAAAAAGATATTACTTATAATTTATTTTCTGAACAGAGTTTACAATTATTGACCGACTTTGTATTATATGCTACTTTTATGCTTGTAATAATAATACTTCTTATTAAATATGTATTTAATGCTTGTTTTTCATATTAAATGAAATCAATAAATCAAAATTGATTGGAAGATTTTTTGAGAACTTGTCCCTTTGTTATCCGATATCATTTATAAGGCAGCCTGTATATATTTTAGTGGAATATTTTCTGGCTCGTGCATTATTAATATAGTTGTATACATATATCTGCTGAAAATATTGTTTATATTATAATAATTGAGTCAATATAATTTTTTCAATAGGGTGTACTTTATTAATTTTTAATACATAAAATACAATTTTTTTTTTATGTTAATTCATCAACAACTATTATGCTAATAAAATATTTTAAAATAATTTGGCAGACATATGTGTAAAAGATATTGTTCTTATTTAATTTGCTATGGGGAAAGCATGTTGATTTAGTTTTTTTTTATTTATTTATACAAGTGCCTTTTATGAATATTTTAAATCAATATAAAAAAGAAAAGAAAAAAGTTTGTACTTCTCAGAAATCAGGAATCCGTTCAGAAATTCTTTTATTCTATAAATAACACTATTTTGTGTGGAATTCAGAATTCTTATACATTGAATTTTTGTTGCTAAATGATTAGTTAACCAATACAGCTTTTTGTATGCTTTGATTACTTATTTGTTGAAGGGGCCCTAACACCTTACCTTAAGTAACTCCTAAATTGATGGTATTTTGTTACAAATTACAAGTTACAAATTTACTTTGTTACAAAAATCTCTTTTTTATTACACCTCTTGTTCGTTATTATACAGAAAAAATATTTGTATTTGTATTTGACATTTCCATTATCAAGAATCATGTGTTTTCCCCAAGCGATATTGACTGCATGAATATTCTTATTTATGGATAACACGATTGTGTGGTTTTGATCAAATTCTTTCAAATATCTAATTGAATTGACTTACCAAATTATTAATTAGATGCAGCTTTAAAAGTCTTTTACTGTAGTTTTATTTTAAATTTATTCAATTATATCGCTGCATAGCTAGAATGATAGATTTTTATTCTTTTATTGCTAAAAACAATTTTGATCAAGACATACAATCAAAGTTTCAAGGAGTTGACTTGAATGATTAGACAAAATTTAATTTTGTTTACAAGTTTATTATTTGATTCAAGTTGTAAAAATTATTTAACTCAATTTCTAAATGATAACAATCAGCTTTATATCAGTTTTGAACTTTCAAATTCATTTTACAAGTTTTAATAAATTTCTTTTTTGGCTTTTTCCAATAATTTGTATATTATTCAAGTCAGCTATATTTGTTTTTTTGTCTCGATTAATTGTAAAGGTTTCACATGTTTTATCAAGTTGTATAAACGATTTTAATTCGATTAATATGATTTCATTTCATCGATTAATTAAATAATTCTCTCGAATAATTTTTTTTTTCTAAGTCCAAGTTTTCTGATTATAATTTTTTCGAATTATTTTTTTTTTCTAAGTCCAAATTTTCTGATTATAATTTTTTCGAATAATTTTTTTTTTTTAAGTCCAAATTTTCTGATTATAATTTTTTCGAATAATTTTTTTTTCTAAGTCCAAATTTTCTGATTATAATTCTTTCGAATAATTTTTTTTTTCTAAGTCCAAATTTTCTGAAACCTTTTCAATTAAGACAGACGAGTTATTTATGCATGCTGTATTATCCCAAAGCCAACATTCGAATGAATGAGGCTCACATTGAATATTTCACAACGAGAAAATTTTATTGGGGCAAGTCCCAGTAATTTTTTCTCGTTGTGAAAACTTCAACGTGGACTTCATTTCATTCGAGTGTTGGTTTTGGGAATTGGTGTGAGGGAACACTAAAAAACATAAAAAAGTTTCAACGCTGAACAGAAAAGAGAAAAATTGATCTGGGACTTAAGGGGTTTTTTTTAAGGCTCTCCACCCCTCCCCTTCCTCCTCCTCCTCCTCTTTCCCCTTTTTTTTCCCTTTTTCCGCTTTTTTTCACATTTTTTTTCCTTTTTTGGTGTTTCTTTTCTAAGTTGTTGTGGTGTTGTTTGTGGTTTTTGGGTAGATTCTTGGGTTCGGCATGCATCTTCCGCAACGTGTCCTCTCTGCGTGTAACCTCTCGCATCATGGACCTCACGTTGACCATCACTTGGTGTGTTCGTTTCAGGACCCTTTGCGCTCGCCAACAGCCAGCCACCAGCACTGCTCCATTTTTTCTGCTTCCGAGTTGGGCGTCGTCGCCTTCAGCTGGACTCGATCCGTCTCACCTTGTGCCTGCCTCCAGAGCGATTTCACCGAGTATGCGGTCACTTAAACCGCTCGGCTATTTAAGTTATTGATGATAAAAGTTATTTTTATTCCTATATTGTATTAATATTGAATTTTAATAAAGAATATGTATCATACACATCTCTCTTATTCATCATCTGCCTCTACCCCTCTCTTTCCCCAGTTCTTCCTCTACTTTTTTTTTTTTTTTCTCTTTATGTATCTCTCTTACAGTCAAGTGCGAACCTTGAGTTTTTTGTTTTTCAGAAATATTCTAAGTGTCAAGGTCGAAATGCGACACCTGAATTTAATATTTTGAACTAATATTTGATGATTATGAAAAACTATACATTCGATTTTTTGTGCCTCTTCTGGAATCGAACCGAGACACGCTGAGCAATCGTAGTGGTCACTTAACGATCTCGGCCAATTGGTTACACAAAACCGTAGTCTTTTTTTAAAAATATAAAGTGTTATTTTCAAACTGAAAGATATAAGTTTCCTAAAAATGTAGTATGCCAAATGTGCGAATGGCCGAGGTCGTAAAGATACGGTTTAGGCCAGAATATCAATTCCGAGTTCGCCAGTTCGAACCCCATTTGACTGAAAAAAATATTTGGAACCAATAATTTTTCAAACTGTGTAAATAAATAAGACATATAGATAGAATTAAATTTATTGAGTGTCAGTATTACAAAAATCGACATGATATATATATATATATATATATATATATATATACACGCATATATATATATATATATATATATACGCGTGTATATATATATATATATGTATATATATATAAAAGATAAGAAAAAGTAGGAGAAAGATAATTTTTTAAAAAAATCATATTTACGCCTGGTTAGCAGTAAACCAAACCTACTTCGGTGTAATTTAAAAATCATATTATTTTTTCGATAAAAAGACAGTCTATCAGGAGCAGCCAAAATTGGCCAAAATTATCACTTTCAAATGCAATTTTAAGGCACTTAATGAATAAAATTAATAATTTTAATTAATGCTTTGTGTAGACTAAAGTACAATCTTTATACCAAACCAAAAAAAATACAAATTTATAATCGTCGTCATAGTTAAAATCAGCTTCAAAGTTGGCAATTTTTCAAACTTCAATTTGGTACCAAGGGCAGAAGAATTTTTTTTTCCAAAAACTGATTTTATATTCGGAATCAGCGCCTCGAAAACTATCAGAATCGGTCAAAACATTTTGAAAATCGCGAAAAAAAAATTTAATTTCATTAGTAAAATTTTGGTTTTGCTACCAATGATTTCGATTTTTCGCAGCGGTATGTAGATTTATCCAAGAACGGATAATATTTTCGAAATCAGCGTCTCAAAATCAATGAAAACCAATCAAAACATTTTGAAAATCGCGAAAAAAAACTATTTTTTAAAAAAAAAATCGATTTTGCAACCAAAGATTTCAATTTTTCGGGGGGTGTATGTGGGTTTATCCAAAAACGGATAATATTTTCGAAATCAGCGTCCCAAAATCAATCAAAACCAATAAAAAAATCGCGAAAAAAACTATTTTTTTAAAAAAAAAATCGATTTTGCAACCAAAGATTTCGATTTTTCGGGGGGTGTATGTGGCTTTATCCAAAAATAGATAGCATTTTTGAAATCAGCGTTCGAAAATCTTTTGGAATCAGTCAAAACATTTCCAAAATAGCGAAAACAAATCTATTTTTTTGCTAAAATTCCCATGTTGCAACCAAAGTTTTTGTTGTTTTTCAGTGATACACGCCCTGAAAGCTCATCAAACAGGATAATTTCGTCCTTGGCGTAATAAAAAATCATCCAAAAATTTTGTCCAAAAAGTTCTTGATGATAAATTTCTTTTAGTATAGGGGAGACCCAGATTTTATGGTTCCTGTTCCTATAAGTGCATAAGTACCTGTAATAAGAATAAATATTCATTCTAAGGATATACATTTAAAATAAGTTTATTTGTTACTGAATACCAGACTAGTAACAATAAGTAAGCTTTGAATATTTTATTTGAAAGTAAAACCACAAAAACTCGGTGAAAAAATAAAAACATTTGAATAATTTGTAGGTACATCATTTGTGTTAATCGAATAACTTGATATCATTTTCAAAGTTTAAAAAAAGCTCTTAAAACAATCCATGGATAGTATTCATGGATTCAACTTCAAATAAATCATTTATTATAATCGAACAATTTGATATCATCACTGTAATTTTAACAAAAGCATGAATAGCAGTCTTTGCTTTTAATATTATTTATGATTTATGAATCTAAATTTTATCCATTTTTTACTTATGTAAATAAATTAAAATGCCTAGAACAAAATTTTCAAGTTGTTTGATAAAATGTACACAAACACAAATTCGCATTCCAGTTAAAAATTATACGAAATTTTAGTTCTCAAACTATATGTACTAGTTTGTACTAAATTCTAGTAAATTTGATATAGTATTTACTAATGTAAACAAATTAATGTGCCAGAAAAGAAAATTAAAAGTTATTTGAAGAAAAGTAAAAAAAAGTCCCAAATCTACATGTTACGTTTAAGTTTGCGTTTCAACTGAAAATTGTTCAAATTTTTTATATGAAAGTATATAATACAATTTATACTATTTGTTAGTACTAAGTTTATACTAGTATAAACAAATAAACATGTTCTGAACATAGTTTTAAAGTTATTTCACAAAATGTAAAAAAAACGTCCAAAATCCACCTATAGCCAATTAACAAACTCAAATCTGCGCTTCAACTACAAATTATTCAAAATTTTAATATAAAAGTTAATATAACAATATACACTAAATTCTTGCATTTTATCTAGTTTATACTAAAATGAACATATAAAAGTGTCCAGAATAAAATTTCGAAAATATTTGACAAAATGTAAAAAAAATGTCCCAAACTCGCATATTGAATGCAATTGAATAAAATGAATAAAATTTGTTTGATAAAATCCGTGGAATTCATGAATTCAATATGGTTAATGATTCATAAATCTTAAACAGCATAATTATACTGTTAGTGTTAGGTCGCTAAAATCATTATTCTGCTTTTGAATGATATTTTAAAGTATTCCAATATTAATATTGAAAAAAAATGTTGGTAATTTAATTTTGTGCAATTTTTTTAAACAAATAATTTTTATTTTATCAATTAAATTAATTAATTAATTTAATTGAAAATGGTACATATGATTCAAAAGAAAAAAACTTTACTTACAAAGAGCATTTAAGAATTTTGACCCTTTTATGATGTAAATATTGGAATATTGACAACAACTGCACTTTTAATAAATATTATTAACACGACAATTAATACACAAATATTATTGTTTTCAAAGAAAACATTCAAAAACGTATTTCCTTGTATAAAAAACACACCGTTTGTTTGAACAATGAAATAAAGTATTATCCTCTTTTGAAATATTTCTGGCATTAGGCAGTTTTGAAAAAGTAAGAAAAAATGAACTAAATGCGACCTGTTCTACTTGATTAATTTAAAGATGTCTATCCACGGATTTTTTCACCAAGTTTTTGTGGTTTTATTCTCATAAAAAATACTTAATAATTAACACATTTGAAAACACATTTGGAAATAAACAGCTGTCAAACAACTGTCAATTTTGACGTTTGACGTTTGACGTTCAACCTTAAACAATCTAATTCACAAAGTAACAAATCCATTTATTAATCATTGTTTTGGACCTGAATGAATATCATGTGTTGAAACAAATATTTGTTTAGAATTATGCCCAACAGTTTGCCAAAATATTTATAAATACATAAACATGAACCACTTTGCCTTAAAATTAAAATATAAAACATTATTTTGTACTTACCTAAATCATATTTTCACAATAAACACACTTCAACTTTATATCTATTTAAATTTATGACATGCACATTTATTATTATTATAAAGACCCTTGTTCAGCCAAGATCCAGGCAGCACAGACTGTTGATATATTTTAAAAATATTTACATCAAAAATTGAGCATAGAGCATAAGCATATATTTATATAGACTGGTAACATAGTTTTTAGTATCAACATTTTAGCAGTAGTTTAGTTTAGCATAGTTTTTTTTTTCTATTTTAATTATCTGAATTGTTTGTGGGTTCGTTCCATCCGAGCAAATCTGACAGTCCGAAACTGTTTCAAACTGTTTCAAACTAGATCAAACTCTTTCTGATTTTTTCATGGCAGTTGGCAATGGTTTGGTTTTGATACATGCAACGCGATCGAACTCGGAGCTCACTCGATTGTATTAATAATTATTATTTTAATACATAAATATAAGTTTAATATATATATATATATATATATATATATATAAAACATATTCTAATAAAATATAACTTAATTATATCAATGAATTTACTTTTTAATATTTCCTAGTTATATATCGTTAGGTCGCTTTAATCTAATATTCTACAATGTTTGAACTCCTGTAAGTTCATTAAATTTTTAATGTTCTATTTGAGATTAAATAACATTCTATTTTAATCGTATTAAATTGCGGAGTTTTTGTTTGTGCCGAGTACAAACACAAAATGATAGTTTCAAACTCATCGGACTGCTTGATGGAACGCATTACTGACAGTCCGCAACAGTTTGGAATCCGAAATTTTGGATGGAACAGAAAAAAGTGTTCTGCGCATGCGCGGACAGTTCCGGACTGTCAGATTGGTTCGGATGGAACGAACTCTGTATCAATTACATGAAGTTAATTAAGAAAACAACATTTATAAATAATCACACAAATTATAAAAATATAATAATTAAATAAAACTAAAATAAAAAACTAATTAAATAAAATATACAAAATATTTCTAACATCCCTCTTGACATGGATTACTTACATGCAAAAATCTATATGATAGAAAAATTATTTAAATTCGCAACAATAACAACAAACTCACGATTGAATAAATAAAAGTAACATTTTGATACAAGCATATATACACATTTACATTATTTGATTTTTTTGCATAAAGTGCATAAATCTCTTCTTCAAGTGTTTTTTTTTTACAAAAAGTTGTTTTTACAAAAGTTTGTAAACTGCAAACCTGCAGAGCGTGCAAGCGCCTCTTTTTTGATAAAATCGAATCGGCGTTTATTTGAATCTTTAATTGTAACTATAAAATACATTGGTTGTAAATTCATATGTAGATAAACTTTATTTATATTGCAAACATCTATTAAAAGCCTGATAGAACAAGGAATTGTTCTCATCTGAGTAATTTAGAATAATCTATATTTAGCACACGATAGGGGAGGGACGTGAGAAAATACCCGTTCTTATAGCTAAACTAAGATAAAAAAAATTACATTGAAGATAACTCAAAACATCTTTAAATTCATAAAGTAATGTTTGTGCTAAAAATGAGTATAGTATATCAAATGTGTATTAAAATAAGATATATAATAGCAAAAGCTCAATTAATTTGGAAATTTTAAATTGCAATTCCCACACTGAAAATAGTATAATCAATTATAGTGCACCAATTATAATATTATAATTATATATTTTATATATATTATATAATTATATAATTATTTTTTTAAATTGTATTTATTTAAGGTGACAAATATACATATAGATATAATGACCCTGAAAATTGTTATGTAATTAATAAGTAGTCATTGATCTGTTGACTTCATAAATATGAAGTTAATTTTTTTCTTTCATAAAAATTTGAACAGTAATGTTTAAATATGATATTAATTTGAAATTACTATATTAAAAGTAATCAAAATAATTGAATGACATCTAGTGTTTATTATCAAATTAAAAAAATACATTTATAATATATAATAATTATAAAATAATTTTATGACAAAAAATATCAAAAAGACCAAAACATTTTATGTCACTCATGTTTCAACTTGGTTTGAGTCTTTTGTTATAAGCCCTCTAATACTCAGATCATAAACAATTTCTTCTATTTTTTTTACATCATATTTTAATGCATCATATTTTTTACGCAAAGCATCATTCTTCAAATTTAGTAATCTAAAACCAGCATTGAGATCTGCCACAAAACGAGCTATTAAAAGTGGTCTTGAAAAGTCACCATTTGTTACGGCATTAATGGCAAAACGAGATAATTCTGAAGACATTTGAAGTAAGCCCATTAAAAAGTCTTCAATATCTAAATGAAATTTATCATATTGTGCCTCAGCACTTATACCTAATATTTGGGCAACTGTTTCTCTACTTATGAGGATTCCAGCTTCTAAATAAACTAATAAAGAACAAACAAATGTCAAGCGTTGAGTAACAAACCGCCAGTGGTCATTGTACCTATAATATTGACCATGGGGTACAACACTAACTAATTTAGAATATTTTTCATTGACATCCGCTAAGAGAGTTCGTGTCTTCAAACAAGCATTCCCAATCATTGCTACATCATAGTGAATTACTTGCAATGTAGTAATAGCTTCTCGAGCAATTGTTTCAATATCTTTCACAATAGTCCGAATTTCCTGAATAGATAAAAGTTTGTTAATTAAACACTTTAATTCAACAATAAAATAAAATATTTAAAATGAAATTATTTATTTACTTCAAAATCATCACATTCTTTGATATTTCTTTTATTGATGCAAATATTTCAAGAATTATGCAGCATATTAATATTAAGTTGTAAATAGCCCCATTTAGTTTAGTTTTTTTTTAACCATATATCACTCAGAAGCAGAAAACTTAAACTTCAAGAAATACAGTTCTTGACTGTATTTCATACAGCTTCAAGTTTTTAGCATATTTGAAAATATGTTTAATTATGAATGGTAACATTTTTTCCCACAAAGCTCGCCACTGCACTGAATAGTACTAATGGTACTGCAACTTTATAATTATTTTTTTATAATTGTATAGAATAAAGTTAGAGTAAAAATATGACGTGTAGTGTGCTTTTATTTGCATAATTATATATATATATATATATATATATATATAATTTTATCAAAGTTGAAACATATTTGACATAATTAGCAACAAATTCATTGAATTAAAAAATCTTATATTATTTTAACTTCAGTTCAATTTCAATTCAAAATATTTGGGCTATTTTTTTTAAATATAATTATGTTTTGTTGTTTATGTTAATTAAAATTTTCTGTTAAAGTAATGTTTTACTTTGATGTTCCATTGTATCCTGGTTTGATATACCGAATGATGAGATATAGCAAGTCTCACATGTTTAAATAAATAATTGAAAATATTATTAAATTTTTTAATTCCTCGAGTACGCTGCTAATTATACTAAACTACTAATATAGATAATATATATACTTCTCGTAATTCTTGCTCATGTGTAATATGTTCTTGAAATTCGTTAAATATGTCAGATATAGCAGCTCTAGACATGATGATAATATTCAACTAATTCAATTCTAGTCAAAATACCTAATTAATAAAAATGATTAAAGTTTATCTATAAAATAACTATTAGCAAAAACATTACCTATAACTTTAATTTTCAGTATTTATTTTGTCTTAACCACAGATTGTACAAAAACAACAAAGTGACAGATAAGATTGGATAAAATAAGCATGAACATGGCAACTGATGAGCACGGTACCAATATAAAAAATGGCGCGGAAAACAGAAATTCAAAAAATTTAAAACTTGATTTGAAAAATGAATGCATGAATAGCCCTTGCACCAAATTCAACAGGTTTAAATATTTATAGTTGATCAATAATAGAAAATAAGTGATTTTTATAAATCATGATAAATACTTAAACGAATAAATGTGATACTGCAATTGTTAACAATATGTTTCTATGTAAAAACTAAAAATGCTGATGTATATTATATTCTATATTTATATAAATTATTTATAAATTATAATTAAAAATGATTATAATAGATATTAAAATTTTAATATAGTGATATTTAAAATCACTATATATATAACAATATATTAAAAATGAGAAATTAAGTTTTGCTATATGATTTGTGCAATATTAAATTTTGATTAATATGTAACACCTTCATACAAATTTCTTCAAATATATGATTATTTAATATTTTGCTAATTATTACAAATTTAAATTCCTACCTATTAATTGAACAAATTTTCAAATAAATGACACAAGTTCTCATTAAACTACAACTGAATGTCTATACGATCTTTCTTGCAAAGTATATTGTTCTAATTCTCCTGTATCAGCATTTAATGCACTATAATCAATCGGAAATTGTCCAGTACGTGTGGTATGTTGTCCTGGACCAAAAATCCATTGTCCTGCACCATTCGGATATTTTCCAAGCATAAAATTGGCAAAACACAATTTATAAACTGGATACGATAGTTGGCAGTCTCCATTCTACAAAGGTAAAATTAAAATAGATTTTATTTAGAGTATATTTGCTAAGTAATAAGGACACTTAATTATTATACTTACACTAGTCATAGACCAATAGGCATTGTTACTCATTTCATTAACTTTATATAGATCAAGACTTAAAACTGAAATATAGAATTCTTTCAGCTCATCCTGCGTAAGTATTCCGGATCCTGAAAGTATAAGTCAAAATACTTGAAACTTAAAATGTAATTATATGGCATATCCTAAACTATTCTTTTATTATTTTTTTATACATACCACTTCTATTAACAGTATTAAAGAGAACTTTAGAAAAATACTGTATCCATAAAGGAAAATCTGCAAATATGGTGGCATTTTCTAGAATAGATTGCCACTTTGAATACCAATCTTCAAGTCCAATCTTATTATTTGATGATAAAATAAACGAAGCATCGACGTTATCGTCTTGTCTAAAATGGCAAAAACCGTTTAACTTTAAATTCTCATGACTATATAAACAAAACCACAAATTAACTCACTTTTGAAATGGTGCAAAAAACGACGAAAGAAATTCTGATTGCACTTCTTGCAATATATTGAACTCCATTGAATTACAAGCCCAATCAGCAAAGTGTCGTATTTTCTAAATATTACAAACAACGTTATACTTTTGTACTAAAGTCTATATAGAATATAATAGGGAATGCAATACCGATGGAAAATCTCAATACCGGTATTTCGGTAATTTTTCATTTTAAACTCGGAATACCGGTAAATTACCGGTATTTTTATTATCTTAAACAGACGTAAACAATTGAAATTTGTTACTAGTGCAAATATAAAAAAATGTATATGCAACTACAACTAAATTCAACTAAACAATAAAAATAATAAAATAAAACAATAAGTTTATTTTTTTAAACAATAATTTAACAAAATTATATTCAATTTAATTAATTCATTATCATCACTATCAAGTATATTGAGTACTTTTCACCAAAAACAAAGTTATGAGTAAGAAAGACCAAAAACTCCTAAAAGATCATATTACATAATTATGATAAACTGTATTGTCTGTATCCGATGTGTTAAATTAGCATAATCTCCAATATTTTTAAAAAATAATTTTTTTACATTAATTTAAGATCGGATACTTTGTCGAGATAAATAATAAGTTACTATAATTGTTGATTATTGTTATTTAAAACAATGTGGTGCTTCTATAGTATTTTCAAACTTCGAAACGTTTTCGAAAAATAATATTTTATAATTTTAATAAGAAGCAAAAATATTTAGTTATTATCATAATTATTATGTATAAACTTTAAAAAAATAAAGATTACACAGGGGTAATCTGTATGATATAAAATATTTTAGCGCAAATGTCACTTAAAAAACCGTTACATTTTTACATAAGATGAAGCAAACATCATTATCTATCAGTCCAATTCTATTTATTGTAACACGATATAAAGCCCTTAGTATAGCAATAAATATTTAGTTTAATGACGAGTTGAGATAATATTTGACATTTGTTTATCATATAGAATCACCTAAAGGTATAGCTGTTTATGCGATTATGAAATTTAAAGATAAATTTGTTCTGAGAAATTTAAACTTTAGTACATTATGTATCAAATAGCGCTTATGTAAAAATACCGAATATACCCGTATTTTGGGGGTAAATACCGGTAAAAATACCGCCAAAAAATCGGGCGGATTACCTGTAATTCGGTATACCGATATACCGGTATTGCATTCCCTAGAATATAAACCATATGTTTTTTGTTTGTGTTTACCTCAAAGAAAAACTTTGCATCTTTGACGCTGATCATACCATCCTGATCACTGTCTAATATACTGTTAAAAATATGTCCAAATTTCGATTTTTGATATTTCGTCAATTGGTGCACGTTCGAATCTTCACAGTCCATACTTGTAGATACTTCTTCGGGATATCTGTTTACCCAAGTAGCTGCAAGAGTCAATAATGATTAGTTTATTGAATATTTGAATTGATATTAAAAATATACTATATATAGTATATATATACGATATATACGATACGATACGAATATATATATATACTCGTATAGGTACTAACACCAAACGTGGACACTCCATCCACATTTTTCCTGGTCAGTAACTTTGGTGGAGCAACTTTGATGTAAGGCACTGATTCTTTCACGTTCGACTTCTGGTAGTGTACGCCATTTCTTTAATAATTCCTTAGTACGATCCTAAAAAGTAAAAAATTATCACACCTTGAAGATCTCACTTGTTCACCGTCATATATCTATTTATGAAAGTTATCATCAATTTATGATTGTTATCATTGCTGGTTTGTGGATGGCAAGATTCGTGATTTCGAATAAATTTCAAAAATATGTTGACTCAAACTATCAGAAAGTACATACCTTCGTTTTATCACAAGCGTGCTTCCAATTTGCAATGAATTTGTTTGGAACCTTTGCCGGACTGCCTGATTTTTGCGTTTTTTCACTAGAAATACTGCTATTTTCTTTTTCAACTTCTTGAAGATCACAGGATGTAGAATCTTTTTCAGAATTAACTTCGTTTATTTCTACTTTTTTTGATACGCCCAATTCTTCCTTTTTAGCTTGATTATCAGATGCAGAACTTGATTTATCCAGTAAATCTTTCTGGGATTTATTTATATTCTCATTTTCCATTTTGAAGTGTCGTTTAATCTAGAGAAAAAAGATATAGAGAATTTTAAAATTAAACTAGTGGGGTGTCGTGCCTTAAGGCAAATTGCTGGAACTTCCCGTACCGTAACAAAATGTTCGAGGAATACAGAATGTTTTCAAATAGATTATTATAAATATTGTAACGTTGTCTAATATTTATAAGAATTATATAAACTGAATTTCAAGTTAAAATTATTTGTTTAAAGTATATTAGAACTTTAGTCAGAATTAAAATTAAAATCTTAATTATTTTCGATATACAAAAAAAAAAAATTAATACAATTTTTTTTTTCCAAAATCAATTATTTTGTTAAAACAAGCTGAAAGTTCTTTGAATCATTTGAACTGGACATCTTAAAAACTGCCATTTTTGCACATTTAGCTCTGTATCTTCGAAATGGCTGGGCCTGCCATTGCCAAAAACTAATCAGCTCTTCTCCCTATCGATAGGAATTGAATGTTTTTAGAAAATTCAAATCGGATGCTCTGTTCACTCAAAAACTCTATTTCTATTTTTTGCACTCTTTGCTCCGTATCCCCGAAACGGCTGGACCTGCCATTGCCAAAAACTAATCAACTCTTCGCCCTATCGATAGGAATCGAATGTTTTTTGAACCATTCAAATCGGTTGATCCGTGCGCCCGAAAACGTGACTTAAAATTTGTATCCATACATACATACACACACACATCCATTTTTTCTGAGGTATGCCAAAATGTTCAGAAACCTTCAAAACGTCAAGAAATGTAAAAAATTTCAATTTCGATTTTCGGCCCATTACAATAACTTACCCTACGGGAAGTTAATTATTTTATCATAGTCATTACCGAATAAATAAAATATAATATAATATCTTAAAAATAAAAACTGTTGTGTGTTTTTAAGGAATTTAAATACACTTCATACGTACGTTTCGATATTCAATTTGATTCTTATTTAGTGCATAAAACACACAAATTATTTGAAGAACATAAAAATCACATTCAATGAACAATGAGAAAAATGTTTGAATTTTTTTTTAAATTATATAATAAATTTAAATATTTAAATAACATCTATATATATATATATATATATATATATATATATCCTTTTACTAGCGTGTATTTTGGTGGTGTGTGATTCGTAAATATTGATCGCAACCCAAAGCGTACAATGCCATTGCATTATCCGAAATTTAAAACCGTATATAATCATATTGCTAAAAACAATAACACCAATTCTTCGTTACTGTCTATTGTTTCTATTCTATAAATTTGTTTTGTTAATTATTATTTATGTAACACTTACAATTGAGTTTATTTAAAGGCACTGAAAACTGAATAACACGACATGCACTGCACACACGTGTGAAGGTGTATCCAGAAACAAACCAGAACTTACCTGGAAAAAAGAAACTAGACGTTATGAATATGATTTTTTTCATAAATGTATACTTGTTATAAAGTAGAACTAGTTATTAATATTAGAATTTCCGCTTCTATTCGCTTCTATTTGCTTCTATTCATATATTGTTAAATTTTAAAACAAATCAACGGTATATTCAAATGAACACGCTGTCATTTAGTCAACGTTTTCGAAATGCATCAAATCCGTCTATATATGATCAATCAATGAAAAAAGCTAAATATAATAACAATTTATATCATTCGCGACGTGTGGGTATTTTAAATATACTTCATACGTATATTTAAAGTAATAATTTGTTTAACCTTTTATCGCGTTTAAATTTTCGCGGTTCTTCCGTCCTTCAAGTCATCCGCAATTAGTGTGAAATCACATCTGGCAACATCGTCTATGATCTGTCGTTTAGTTCTCAGTATTTTTTCATAAAAATAAATGCTAAGTTTATAAAAATAATAAACAATGGAAGATGTTCTTGACGAAATTGTTTCTCCTGCAGATTTGAAAGTAGGAAAATATAAAAAATTAGACATGTATTACGTCTTAAATTTGAATTTCGCAATTTTTTAAACTATGTTGCAATTTTTTAGAAATTCGAAAAGGAATATCACGAGCAATTGCATTTGCAGAATGTAACTCCAAAAGCACAATTCGAATACGCTTGGTGTCTAGTTAGAAGCAAATTTCCAGCAGATATTAGAAAAGTGACTCATAATACTATCAACACCTTACCCAGCTTTTGTATTTTCTTGTTTTCATCAAATTCTTTGTTTGTAGGGAATAGTACTCCTCGAAGATTTGTACCAGAATCATCCTGAAGGTAAAAGGGATTATTTATATTACTTAGCAATTGGAAATGCTAGAATAAAAGAATATTCTACAGCATTGAGATATGTCCGTGGATTTCTGCAATTAGAACCAGCTAACCAACAAGTTACCTGCCTCGAGGTAAGAAAATTGAGAATTGAAAGAAAATTACCATGTATTTTTTAAGTAAAGACTGATATATTCAATTCACACTCCTTCAATTTCTAATGGCAAATGACTATAATATTCTACTGTAGCTATTAAACACATTTTTTCTTTTTTTAGACTGTAATAAAGAAGAAAATGGAAAAAGAGGGCCTTAAAGGCATGGCATTAGCAGGTGGGGCAGTCCTTGCCATAGGAGGTCTTGTTGGACTTGGAATTGCTTTATCAAAAAAGTAGACACTAAAAATTAATTTGTATATAGAATGTTTGTAAGGTCTTTGTGATTAAGAAAATTTGTTAGTACTGATGTCAAATTATATGTTTCAATTTTAATATTGTTATGTATTTTGTTTTTGTAGTTTATATAAAAATATGAGCTATATTCATTCCAATATATTTGTCAATATTTTCTGTATTTTATTACAATAAAAAATTATTAACTATTTGATATAAAATATATTATTTATATAAAATTAATACTATGTATGCTTTCCAATACATAGCTTTCAGCAATGTAACATGAGTAGATGTTATTTGTATAAAACATGATTTTGTTACACTTATATAACAGTTTAAAATGATGGTGAAATTACTGTAGTATTCTATATGAAATTGTTGTCAAAGAACAAATAAAAAATACAAGTTATAAAAATTCTGAATTCACCCAAGAAAATCATCACAAAGACTTACTCTCATTTAAATTAAGTTCTGTTTAATTATTTCTATTCGCCGTTTAGCATTTGTTGTCATCAACCGAATATTTCTCAATTTTCTGAAAAGAAGAAAAGTTGATCAAGTTAAACAAAAACATATATATTTCTATATAATATACCTTCAACAACTATTAACTTATATTACACATGTATGCACGTACAAAAAGTGAACTTAGAACTAAAATTACAAATGGGAATCATTTTGAATATTCAACAAATCACATATACAGACACATGAAATACACACAAATAGTTTACTAATCATTAACAAGTAAAAGGGTCTTATAACCATCTTAATTTATAATTAAAATATCAATTAATGATTCAATTTAATTCAAACACCTTCCTACATTTGTGGAATTTTAAGCCTTACCATTTTTAAAATATCTATATTTTTATCCTATACCAAATTTTATTAACAAACTTTTACTGCTCAGAATTTAATAAAAATATGAAAATTATTATACACTCTATTAATATCATGATAACTGGGAAATGAAAGTTTTAACATTAAAATCAAACTGTATAAAATATTATAGCTTGATTACTGTAAAATATTATTAGGAAATAAAGTTGGTCAACGCAATTTTTTTTAAATAACATCTTTGGTTTATATTTATAAAATTTTTACACCCTAATGTTAATGTACATAATAATATAAATAATTTATCTAAAATACCTTGCAACATAAATATCCTCAGGCACATTACATTCGATAAACATGTGACTCAAGTTATAAAACATGCCATGATTCAAACACGCAAACTGCTAGAAAACATTGTAATTGGCAGATATTTCAAGAATGTGGGCTTTGTCCATGGTGCGCCTCCTACAAATAATTAAACTATCTGCATTACACTGTGTACAGTTACTAGCTTAAATCATGACATGTAACTCTCTTTTATAAATAATTATTATAAAATTCATTGTATTTTAATTTGTCTATAAAATAGTTCTCGGTAATATCTTCCAGAAGAGATTCCCGAGAGCAAGGCCTTATACTACCTATTAATAGTATCCTGACTTCTATAATAAGCATAGATTCCCATCAAAATGCTTGCTGATACTAATAAATATTTCATTGGACCTCTAAAGGAACCCCACCAACGATTAACTGTTCCTTTATGACGGGGATCTGTGTATTTTAAACGGTTCAGTCTGGCTTGCTGTTCTTTCAATCGTTGATCACGCCTATAATTTCAAAAACCAATGGTAAATAGTTATATAATATTTGTTATTGTAAATATTGAGGTATACATACTCTTTATCCATCATTATTTGCACATCTTTTTCAAGCTCTTCTGGTGGATATTTTTCATATAGCTTTGCAGCAGAAATGAGGAGTTTTTCAAAAGGTAAATCATCTGGTAACTGTAAAGTAAATAAAATTTTATTAAACAGATGTTAGTGTTTGTGAGAAGTTATATTTTTATACATTTGAAAGTAGACAATGCAGGCTAGCCATGTCACAATCTTGTTCAAAGATTTCATCCACTCTGTGAAGTACAATAGCAGCTGCAACATATAATGGAAATAATGGTGTTGACGCCAAAAAATAATCAAACAGTCTCACAACCGTTCTATAATAAGGTAAACTGTGACCAAACCATGTCAAATACCACGGTAATGCAAACATTGTTCCCACAGTGGACCTAAAAGATAATGACAATTTAGTATTTTTTTATGTATTTATTTATTTATTTATTTATTCATTTTACAAGCCGTTAGTATAATAATATTATAATAAGGCTTAAGTCATTATTTTATAGGTTTAATATAATTTAATCAATTATTAGCTATTTCATTACTTGTTTATTTATTATTTAATTTATTTACTATAAACTTATTTATATTTAGTTAATTTTAATTATTTTTAATTATAACTAGTTTGTTTGTTGCAAGTACTTTTTAAAAATTAAATAAGTATTTTAATAAGCTTTACAATACTTTTACAATATAATTATTTTATTTAACAAATTTTAGATTATTTTATGATATTTTAATAAATCCAAGTATCTTATATTATTGTAATTATTATTATTATTAATAATATTATCATTATCATTTTTGTTATTACTGTTAAGTAATTTTACAATATAAGTTTTTTTCTTTTACAAATTCTTAGGTATTTTGATGAAGGAAGTATTTTTTTCACAATTTTTTAAGTGTTTTTAAAATTCAAGTTTTTGGTTAACTAATTATTAATTATTTTAACAATAACAGTCATATAAAAAATTTAAAATTTTGTTTCACAATTTTTAAGTGTTTTAAATTATAAGTTTTTAGTTAACTAATTATTAAGTATTTTAATAATAACAGTCATATGAAGATAATAATTAGAAAAAAAGAAAAAGTCAATATCTTGTATCTCAATTTTTTAGTGTTTTTTAAATTATAAGTTTTTAATTAACTAATTAAGTATTTTAACAATAACAATTATATAAAAAAAAGAAAAAAAAACAAACAAACAAAGAAATAATAATAATAATAATAATAGTAATTTAGAAGTATTTTTGCAACATAAGTATTTAGTTTAACAAACGAATTATGTTGTGACGAGCATAGCAGGATTAAGGTTTTAAATTAGTTTGAATTTATATGTTAATTAAACACTTACCTTTCAAGGAATTCACATAACTGTGGATGTTCTTTATTGATTATAGGATATATATACATCAAACGTCGCTGTGTAGGCTCCATAGTGGGGCCCATGCATTCTTCTAAATGACCTGTTGAGAGTACTTCCATCATATGAAAAGCAACACGATCCCCCACAACAAGTAAACAGGTCACAGCAACATCATGGTAACCCTGTATTTAATTAAAGTATTTAATAATAGAAAATATAATATCAGTCATTTTAATGAATAGAATATCACCTGATAATATTTCAAATGTGGATATTTTGTTATAACTCGAAGAATTAACACAGTTAATTGATCTTGTAAAGCTACTCTCTGCTCATAAGGTATACCTGGAGGAAATCGTTTCAGTGATCTATTTACATCAAGCACAACTTGTGTATATTCAGGATGAGATTGCAGTTCTTCTAAAGTAGGAACAGGTGCTGCTAGAGCAGGTACAACACCAAGCAAGAGGGGCCACACTCTTCTCCGCAAATCATCTGCAATGACAGCATATTTTTTATAAATTTATCACTTATTTGTCTTTTTTCTGAAATAATACATCTACATTGAGTGAATGAATATACATTATAAAGGTGTATACCACTAATGAGGCCATGTGTAGATATTGCAAATTTCCTCCATGTTTCCAAATTAGATGAACTGTCTTCTAGTGCCCTTTCTATTTGTATTCGTTTGATACGTTCTTCATCAGACTCTGGAACTACAGAGCAAATTAAATTTAATCAAAATATAATAGAATAAAATATAAACTTTAAGAATAACTTACTTTTCTCAAAACTAAGTTCTGATGCTTCTGCAGCGTTTATTATTGCATCTTTCTTTTGAATACCATTACTTCCTTCATCAGATTTGACGTTTTCATCAATTTTATTTGGAACTACTAACCAAGATTCATTTGATTCTTCGTTTTCCGTATCCATGTTGACTTTATAAAGAATAAAACACTATAATAATTTACATTAAACCATACTAACGTATTGTTATGATTTACATTTATATTTTTAATGATAAATCTAAAAAAATACTTTTACTTTTGAGAATTGTGACAAATGACACATCTGTCAGATATCTCTTGATGTGTTGCCAGATTAAAACAATAACAATAAATTTCAAATTATTGTTGCCATATTAGAAAAAAAAGGAATACTACTGTGATATTTTAATATATAAATAAAAAAATATAAAAACTACTAATTATTGTTGCTATTTTTCATTAATGATCATTCTTTTTTTATTTTTGGTCATATAAATCAATTTATTTAAGATTGTTATCATGTGTTGTTAAGTTTCGAATCATTACTTCACAAAGTTTCAAAAAACATTTAGAATGTTTGTTTAAAATATTTACATAAACCTATTATACAATAGCTTAAGCGTGATTTTCCATTTAAATTAATATATGAATATTTATTTTGTACATAAATAGTTATAATTTAGAAATTGAGTACAAGAAATGTATTGCTAGTTGTTTGGAAACTGATAACATATCATTTTCATTATCAGATCATTTACTTAAGACGTTCTAATTTACAAAATAAAATAATTTCTTTAAAAATGTAATATGCCAGAGTTATATTCTTTATTTATAAATCATTACTAAATAATCATAAAGAATTGTTTTGAAGAGTAAGGTTAGTATCATCTGACTTTCTTAAATATTAAATAAAATATTTTTTTAATCTATTATATATTTTAACAGGTTATACTATCTTTAAAAAATGGGTATGCCAAAAGAAATGAGTGCAAATGAATATAAAGCATTTCACGAAAGTTTCATGAAGAACAACAATGGAACAAATTTTTGGCATGTTATGTCAGTAATTCTGCCTACAGCACTTACAACATTTTTAACTATAATTGTTTATACCACAGTGAATAAAAATATGTCAAGAACATACAGATTCTTCGTAGAGTTTTTAATTTTAGTCATTCCTGTTATATTAAGTGTAACTATATGGTCCGATAAACTGAACTCATTAATATATACCTTAATGATTATTGACTTACCTGTTATTGCAAAATTAGTATTTAGTATTTTTAAAAATACTAAAAAAGATACTAATATATTTGCTGTGGAAATACCTACAGGAAACCGTGAATTCATATCCATTGTAAGAGCTATAATAAACTTATTGACGGCAGTATGTATTCTGGCCGTTGATTTCCAAATTTTTCCTAGAAAATTTGCTAAAACTGAAAACTATGGATTCAGTCTTATGGATACAGGTGTTGGATTATATGTTTTTGGTAATGCTATAATAGCACCAGAAATTTATAAACAAAGTCAATTAAAACCACCATTATCACGTTTCAAGTCTCAACTTGTAGGAACAATACCTCTTTTAATTTTGGGGGCAGGAAGATTTATTATTGTTAAAGAAATTGATTATCAGGAACATATTTCAGAATATGGTGTTCACTGGAATTTTTTCATCACACTGGCAATAACAAAACTGCTTGGAACAACACTTTTACTAGTAATTCCGATAAAAAATCTATTATTATCTTCACTTTTAATATCAATCCTGCATGAAATATTATTAAGCTATGGATTGTCAAGCTGGGTTTTGTCTGATATCGAACGAAATTCATTTCTAACTGCTAATCGAGAGGGTATTGTTTCAATTTTAGGGTATGTTGCATTATATTTAATATCAGTTCATCTAGGAGAAATATTATATGTTAAAAGTAAAGATATTAGGGCAAATATATCTTGTATTGTTAAACTAACATGCTATGCCCTACTTTTTAATATCTTAACAATTATTTATCACAAACATTTTGGTGTTTCAAGAAGATTAGCCAACTTTGGGTATCTGACATTCGTCCTGAGTTTATCTGTATCTATGTCAGTAGTATTTTTAATTATGGAACTACTTTTAATTGTTTATACAAAATCAAATAATGAAGTTTTCAATGCCAATAATTACATTCCAACTATATTTAAATCAATTAATTATAATGGTTTGTTATATTTTTTAATAGCAAATTTAGGCACAGGTTTAATAAATTTATCAACGAGAACTTTATTGGTGCCAGAAGCACCTAGTCTTTTCATCATAGCCACCTATATGTTTGTAATAACAGGTTTTGTTCAAGTATTAATGATGAATAAAATAAAATTAAAAATTTGGTAATTTTGTTTAGATCGTTATTTATTTTATAAAATTGTAAAAAAATATTATAAACACAGCCTTTTAACTAAAATGTATTAATAAATAAGATGAAACCAAAAACCTTTAGTTTATTATTTTGTAAATTAATTTACCTAAAGATCTATGGTAAAAGAAATTACTTAATAAGTTAGCAAAAAATAATGCCAATAGTACTACAACTCAATATGCCTCAATAAATTTTTTTCTATCATAATTTCCTCAAATCCCTTAACTTTCTTTTTCTCAAATACATGATTGGCAGCTACTGATACTAATCTTATAAATTCTTCAACATCAAATGAATAATTAGTGAACTTTGGATGAGCGCCTCCATCAGGATGATGACCCTACATTAAAGTTAATAATTACTCCTCATTCAAACACAATAAATAACTACACATTTTTCAGTTATTTAGAAAATCAGTGTCTGTAAAATTGAAAACTATTTTTTTAATATTATTTAATAAAAATTTACCTCATCCTCTTTGTAGACTAGTTCTGGATCTTCCCAAGTGATATATTTTATGCCTTTTAATCTTGCCAAATCTCTATAACAAGCTATGTCTTCACAATTATATAATTCAAATACAGCCGATGTTTGTGGCAAAAACAGCATATGTGTTAAACCAGCACCATGCATTCCAATTAGAATATCAGTTTCTATGATGTATGATAGCTGAGTAGAAAATGTTACAACTCTAAAGTAATAAATAATAATTAAAACTGTTATTCTGAAATATCAAACAAATATAAATTTTTGTACCAACCGGTTAAATACAACTCTGTTTACTATATATCTACCATCTTTTTTTAATTCAGTCAGTAACTCATCCTCATTCAAAATTCTACGATATTTAGTCTCTCTTGAAAGCAGAGTTATTCTTAGTTTCGAATTTTGATCATAATTTTCTTCAAATCTCTTTAAGTTAATAGTTTTATTTTTGATTTCTTTATTATTATATGTGATCTCAGGCTCACTTTCTATAAAAGGCAATGAATTTTGCTCACTGAATTTTGAAATATTAAGTCTATGTAAAATAAACTTGCTAAAAGCTTCAAACATAGCACTTTTTTCACAACCTTGAATCTATAAACAGTAAATAAATGTTGTATAATATATATACACATACAAGAATTGATAAAATATGACTTACAAGTGGAGTATTGTAATATAAACCATATATCATTCGAGGTAGTAATGGTAAAACTAGATTTCGAAAGCATACTTTTTTTCCTTGAAATTTATTCAAATCCCATATAGGATGCTTTGAGAATGCTTTAAAAACTGGTTCAAACTGTGAACTATAAGGATATGTCTCCCAAATTAAAATATGAACATCGGAAGAAAATGCTTGTGGGTGAGAACTATTAACATGAAGTGAAATATACAAATTCACAAAATCACAGAAGTGGTGGTACATGTTGACAGCTAAAAAGTAAAACATGATATATATATATATATATATATATATATATATATACATAATACACAATATTTACTTGCATCAATCTTCATGAAAAATGTTGGTTTATCAATGTAAACATCGCACATGTCACCAAGCCCAGGAACACTTTCAACCCTTCTAAAGTTTTTTAGTTCTGGTGCCCATGATTGAAGAGGACTGTGATGTTCTAAATTTTCCATAAGAAGTGAATAATTAAAATCGCAATGACCACCTAGAGACAAGATTAATTGAATTACACAAAACATCTTAAAGTTCTCTGTGCTAAACTTTATGCTTAAAAAAATTACTAACCAATTTGGCCTTCACTCAGTACATCCATGTGGTACCTCACTGGTTCTTTTCTTTTAATTAATGATGAAAAATCTACTATAACATTTCGAGCTCTGCAAAATCTATATGAACATATAAAATGTCAATATTAGAAATTATATATGATAAAATTTTTCTTTCTTATACCTCAGATATTGAGAACATTCTAAGGATGAATCATGAGCAAAAGTGGGAGCACATATCACTTTTAACTCATCTCGCTGCTCCTTTACATATCCTACAAAAAATGAAATGCTTCTTAAGCATAAAGTACAATATCAAACTTATATTGTTTATAAATAAATTTTCCTCACCAAAATCTCCTTGGTACCTAAAGGTTTCAATTTGAGTCTTTTTATCTTTCACCCAACCCCTGTGGTCTCCTGGACAGGATGGTTTAGATAATACATTTTGATCTGTACATCCAAACTCATAGCCCCAACAAGATGTAACATTTATAAACTCTTTATATGGACAATCAGAAGAGTCTTCACATTCCTTTCTTATGTTAGGGAAATTAAAAAAATATTGTGGTATATGTTCACTAGGTAAATTGAGATCCAATATTTCATTAGCTGAAGAATAGTTTATTAATATAATAGTGCTTATGATAGAGATAAGGAACATGGTTATAGATGATTTATGGACACATAAATTACTTTTATTTAATTTATTATTATTAGCATGAATTATTACTTTTATTTAATTTATTATTATTGACTTGTGAGATTATAATTATTTAATAACCTTAAAATTTGACAGATGTTAGATCGAAATGTCAAATACAACGTGCTTTTTAAAGCATAGATATCAATTTCTAATAGATGAGACACATCAAAAACAAATATAAAAGAAAGCGGCAATTGAAATAATATTATAGTCAAGACCCGAAACGTGATATTTGATTTTATTTAGCAACTCGTTCTCTAAGAAATGAAAACAATTGTATTTTATATTTATCATATAATCTTTATATAACATTCGTGAGTTATTTGAAAAGGGGCGCTTTCATATAATATTTGTTAGTAATTTGACAAAAACCAAAAAAATGTCCCGAATTTTCTATTAAACACTAAAGAAAATGATAGGTCGAATTCAAACTCGTTTTATTCCAAAATTTGAATTGTAACAAATTTTATCTAGTTTATCCCTGGCTAACTGAAAAGAGGTGTTTTCATATGATATTTGTTAGTAATTTGACAAAAACCAAAAAATTGTCCCGAATTTTCTATTAAATACTAAAGAAAATGAAAGGTCGATTTCAAACTCGTTTTATTCCAAAATTTTATATCAAAGTATGTATAGCTGTTAGCATGGAATCGTAGTAAATTTTATCTAGTTTCTCCATATGTAACCGAAAAGGGGTGCCTTACTCTAGTATTTGTGAGTAATTTGACAAAAACCCAAAAAATGTGCCGAATTTATAATGTATATGAATGAAATATGCGCATTTAAAATATGTATTTGCAGGTGCAAAAATTTTTATGATAGCTCCAACCGGTCCCGAGATATTCGCTAAAAACCATTTGCTCCTTTTCACATATTAAAAATGCGTTTTTCTCGAAAACTATTTGAAGTGCGATCGAAATTTTTTAATAGCATTTTCCTTACATCATAAGGTATCAACGTTGTGAAAATCATCAAAATCGGAAACAAAAAATTTTCATCCAAAATCGGAAAAAAACGTGACCCAAGTGAAAAGCATGTGAAAAGCATCATGCTATAATTTCAGTTTTTTCTGATTTATTCGGCAACCGTTGAGAATATTAAAATGCAGTTTTTTTCACGTTATTCTAGCCCACAAGACAATTCGAACGACGTCTAATTGAAGCTTCTACGTGCCCGGGAAGTGTGTGAAAAATTAAAAAAACTAACTAATTTTTCGTCCATTTTTTGGGCATTTTTACTCGTGAAATCTTTAAGCGCCTATAACTTTTGAACAAATCATCATAGGACATTGATGTTCCCAGATGAAATATTCTAAATCAAAAGATCTTTAACCCAGTATAAGAGTTTTTAAAATACCTCTCACCGTTCGCGAGATATAGCCCAAAAACTGTTTTAAATTTTCATGTTTGAAACAGTTAAATGCCCATATCTCGGAAAATATTCAAAATAGGGTCATGATGTGTATGAATGAAATATGCGGGTGCAAAAATTTTTATGATACCTCTAACCGTTCCCGAGATATTCGCTAAAAACCATTCGCTCCTTTTCAAATATTAAAAAAGCGTTTTTCTCGAAAACTATTTGAAGTGCGATCGAAATTTTTTAATAGCATTTTCCTTATGTTATAAGGTATCAACGTTGTAAAAATCATCAAAATCGGAAACAAAAAATTTTCATCCAAAATCGGAATCCAAAACGTGATGCATCATGCTATAAATTCAGTTTTTCCTTATTTATTCGGCAACCGTTGAGAATATTAAAATGCAGTTTTTTTCACGTTATTCTAGCCCACAAGACAATTCGAACGACGTATAATTGAAGCTTCTACGTGCCCGGGAAGTGTGTGAAAAATTAAAAAAACTAACTAATTTTTCGTCCATTTTTTGGGCATTTTTACTCGTGAAATCTTTAAGCGCCTATAACTTTTGAACAAATCATCATAGGACATTGATGTTCCCAGATGAAATATTCTAAATCAAAAGATCTTTGACCCAGTATAAGAGTTTTTAAAATACCTCTCACCGTTCGCGAGATATAGCCCAAAAACTGTTTTAAATTTTCATGTTTGAAACAGTTAAATGCCCATATCTCGGAAAATATTCAAAATAGGGTCATGATGTGTATGAATGAAATATGCGCATTTAAAATATGTATCTGCAGGTGCAAAAATTTTTATGATACCTCTAACCGTTCCCGAGATATTCGCTAAAAACCATTCGCTCCTTTTCACATATTAAAAAAGCGTTTTTCTCGAAAACTATTTGAAGTGCGAACGAAATTTTTTAATAGCATTTTCCTTATGTTATAAGGTATCAACGTTGTGAAAATCATCAAAATCGGAAACAAAAAATTTTCATCCAAAATCGGAATCCAAAACGTGATGCATCATGCTATAAATTCAGTTTTTCCTTATTTATTCGGCAACCGTTGAGAATATTAAAATGCAGTTTTTTTCACGTTATTCTAGCCCACAAGACAATTCGAACGACGTCTAATTGAAGCTTCTACGTGCCCGGGAAGTGTGTGAAAAATTAAAAAAACTAACTAATTTTTCGTCCATTTTTTGGGCATTTTTACTCGTGAAATCTTTAAGCGCCTATAACTTTTGAACAAATCATCATAGGACATTGATGTTCCCAGATGAAATATTCTAAATCAAAAGATCTTTAACCCAGTATAAGAGTTTTTAAAATACCTCTCACCGTTCGCGAGATATTGCCCAAAAACTGTTTTAAATTTTCATGTTTGAAACAGTTAAATGCCCATATCTCGGAAAATATTCAAAATAGGGTCACGATGTGTATGAATGAAATATGCGCATTTAAAATATGTATCTGCAGGTGCAAAAATTTTTATGATACCTCTAACCGTTCCCGAGATATTCGCTAAAAACCATTCGCTCCTTTTCAAATATTAAAAAAGCGTTTTTCTCGAAAACTATTTGAAGTGCGATCGAAATTTTTTAATAGCATTTTCCTTATGTTATAAGGTATCAACGTTGTGAAAATCATCAAAATCGGAAACAAAAAATTTTCATCCAAAATCGGAATCCAAAACGTGATGCATCATGCTATAAATTCAGTTTTTCCTTATTTATTCGGCAACCGTTGAGAATATTAAAATGCAGTTTTTTTCACGTTATTCTAGCCCACAAGACAATTCGAACGACGTCTAATTGAAGCTTCTACGTGCCCGGGAAGTGTGTGAAAAATTAAAAAAACTAACTAATTTTTCGTCCATTTTTTGGGCATTTTTACTCGTGAAATCTTTAAGCGCCTATAACTTTTGAACAAATCATCATAGGACATTGATGTTCCCAGATGAAATATTCTAAATCAAAAGATCTTTGACCCAGTATAAGAGTTTTTAAAATACCTCTCACCGTTCGCGAGATATAGCCCAAAAACTGTTTTAAATTTTCATGTTTGAAACAGTTAAATGCCCATATCTCGGAAAATATTCAAAATAGGGTCATGATGTGTATGAATGAAATATGCGCATTTAAAATATGTATCTGCAGGTGCAAAAATTTTTATGATACCTCTAACCGTTCCCGAGATATTCGCTAAAAACCATTCGCTCCTTTTCACATATTAAAAAAGCGTTTTTCTCGAAAACTATTTGAAGTGCGAACGAAATTTTTTAATAGCATTTTCCTTATGTTATAAGGTATCAACGTTGTGAAAATCATCAAAATCGGAAACAAAAAATTTTCATCCAAAATCGGAATCCAAAACGTGATGCTGGCATCATGCTATAAATTCAGTTTTTCCTTATTTATTCGGCAACCGTTGAGAATATTAAAATGCAGTTTTTTTCACGTTATTCTAGCCCACAAGACAATTCGAACGACGTCTAATTGAAGCTTCTACGTGCCCGGGAAGTGTGTGAAAAATTAAAAAACTAACTAATTTTTCGTCCATTTTTTGGGCATTTTTACTCGTGAAATCTTTAAGCGCCTATAACTTTTGAACAAATCATCATAGGACATTGATGTTCCCAGATGAAATATTTTAAATCAAAAGATCTTTAACCCAGTATAAGAGTTTTTAAAATACCTCTCACCGTTCGCGAGATATAGCCCAAAAACTGTTTTAAATTTTCATGTTTGAAACAGTTAAATGCCCATATCTCGGAAAATATTCAAAATAGGGTCATGATGTGTATGAATGAAATATGCGCATTTAAAATATGTATCTGCAGGTGCAAAAATTTTTATGATACCTCTAACCGTTCCCGAGATATTCGCTAAAAACCATTCGCTCCTTTTCACATATTAAAAAAGCGTTTTTCTCGAAAACTATTTGAAGTGCGATCGAAATTTTTTAATAGCATTTTCCTTATGTTATAAGGTATCAACGTTGTGAAAATCATCAAAATCGGAAACAAAAAATTTTCATCCAAAATCGGAATCCAAAACGTGATGCTAGCTAGCATCATGCTATAAATTCAGTTTTTCCTTATTTATTCGGCAACCGTTGAGAATATTAAAATGCAGTTTTTTTCACGTTATTCTAGCCCACAAGACAATTCGAACGACGTCTAATTGAAGCTTCTACGTGCCCGGGAAGTGTGTGAAAAATTAAAAAAACTAACTAATTTTTCGTCCATTTTTTGGGCATTTTTACTCGTGAAATCTTTAAGCGCCTATAACTTTTGAACAAATCATCATAGGACATTGATGTTCCCAGATGAAATATTCTAAATCAAAAGATCTTTAACCCAGTATAAGAGTTTTTAAAATACCTCTCACCGTTCGCGAGATATAGCCCAAAAACTGTTTTAAATTTTCATGTTTGAAACAGTTAAATGCCCATATCTCGGAAAATATTCAAAATAGGGTCATGATGTGTATGAATGAAATATGCGCATTTAAAATATGTATCTGCAGGTGCAAAAATTTTTATGATACCTCTAACCGTTCCCGAGATATTCGCTAAAAACCATTCGCTCCTTTTCACATATTAAAAAAGCGTTTTTCTCG